TTCAATAAATGTTTTTTTCCATAGTACATGGCTGGATACTTTCTGGGCAAACCTCCTGTAGCCCACTAGTCTAACTTCTTCATAGGAGGCATTTAGCTAATTTTTATTGTCTCTCGTTTCAAAGCCAATGGAAACTGAATTAACCCATGACCAACCAGAGGAAACTATCTGGGAAGGAGAAGAAGGGGTGGAAAAGAAACTGGGATATTAGGTGGAATTTTCCATCTTATCTGACCTACAAGTCATTACATATTCATTGAGTACCTATTACATTTCTAGGAGGATGTTACACCCAAAGACACATTAACAGATCCCCGCTTTCTCAAAGCATAAAGTCAGGTTAAAGAGATAGAACTTAAACTCAGGACTTAAACTGTAATTGGACAACAATGACAAAGAGCCTGTCAATGCACACAAAATAGTAGGTACTTAAAGGCCTAATATAGGAAGAGTTTGATACATTCAAAGGGATCTAGGAGATCGAGTCACAAAAAGACTGATAGAATCTGGAACCCCTAAGAAGAGGTGTCACTGTGCATTCTCAAAGAGCAGGGTTCTGTGGACAGGGCCTTACTCTGCCCCTAATCAATCTCAGTGGCAGGAAGAGCATGGCAACATGAACAATGTTGGTAAGTCTGGGGGAGGGGGGCGCCCTCTGGGCTTTGAGCCCCCAAATAAGGCAAATCCCTCCCCTTCCCAATCATAAACAGATCTGAGTCATTCAGGGACACCAGGTGTGGCTCTTATGTTATTCATGCCCTTTGTTTCCTTCGCTCTCCTTTTCCCCAGCCCTCCCCCTCCATGTTAAGCTGCCCTATCTTTGAGGCTAGGACAGGACCCCATTCATCAGACAACTAAGGCAACTAGGAGAGAGGAAGTAAAATGCAGAGGAGGCCACCCTGTGCCCTACCTCCTCCAGGTACAAGGCTAACACAAGGTTTGGGATTATGCAACGATTTCTTTTGTTCCCAAGTTGGTGTTATTATTGTGTGGAGTGAGTGTTGAAAGCCTCCCCAACCTATTGGGAAGTGTAAAGGTAGAACAGGTGAGAATGGAAAAACAGGAATGAAGAAATCATAGGATAGGGAAGGCAAGGATGTGGAGATCCTTGTTCCTGTGCCCAATTAAGACTGTCCTGTTAATGGCAAGCCCTGTCGTTGTCAAGCCCCTTGTCACCAGCAGTGTGTGTAGTTATGGAACACAATCAATTGGGAAATTTCTGTCAAGCCCCACTTTCCTATACTCAGATGCCTTCATAATCTCGTTAAACAAATCCATGCCTGACTTTGTGAATGACAAACAAACAGAAATCCTAAAGACTGAAGATCTTCTCTTCAAAGAGCAATTCATTCAACATTTACAGAACTCAGACATCGTGCAAACCCTTTTAGTGCCTGTGGGAAGAAAGATGAAAAGACAAAGGCCCTCCTCTCTGAGTTCTTTCTAGTGAGGAAGACAGGCACATCGATGGATGAAAACAGTGACTTATTCATTGCAGTGATGGGGAGGTGTACATGGCAGTACCGGGAGGCAGTGATCAGTTTTACCATGGCAGTAGGTTCTCCCATGCTTGGCTCACCATGAAGATGATATGTAGACCAGTCCTTGATGGATGACTAGTGGTTTGTGAAGCAGACTGAGGTTGAGAGGAGATTTCAGGCGATGGGAATGTAAGAACGAAGACGTGGAGTTGGAAGTGTGAGTGCAGTGTGTGTAAGAAAGAGCAACACCTTGGCTGGTCAACAGGGGGAGGCACTATGGGTGCAAAGAGTCTTTGTCAGCTTCTTTCTATAAAGATATTGTTTACTTCCTCTTTTATAACATGTGTGGGAAAGAAAGTTAATTAAGCATATGAGGATGCGCAGAAGAAGTGGCGGGAGGAGTTATACAGAAAAGCAGATCACTGAGAAGAAGTCCAAGGGGGTTAACTTTAAGGGGTGGTGGGAGATGAGGCAGGGAGGGAGCCCAAAAGACAGATTTAGTGAAGCCTCAGGTACTGCGCTGAGGAGTTTGGACCTTACCTTGCAGGACATCAAGGAGTCTGTGAAGGGTTTTAACAATAATGTCAAAAGATTATGGGGGCAGTGTGGGGAGAGTGCTTACAAAGGAAAGAGATGGGAGCTCGGAAGGTGACTTCAAGGACCTTACGCAAGATGATGGGGGCCTGAAATAAGGGAGTGACTTTAGGGATGGAGAGGAGAGGACAGGCTCCAGTGATATGTCGAAGGAGGAGCCACATAGCATGGGCGTCCATTGCATGTGGGAATGTTTGAGAAAGAGAGAGAGGACAAGAGAGCAAGGGAGGAATCAAAGATGATTCTCAGGTTTCTGGTTTAGACAACTGAGTTGTGGCTCCAGAACCTGAGGTTGTGAATACCGAGAAAGAAACAGTTTGCAAAGAAGAAAACGTCAGATCAGCTTTGAAAATGTTGAGATGACAGTGCTGGTGGATGTCCATGGAGAGATGTCCCATAGCCCATTGGGCATTTAGAAGTAGAGCCAAGGCAAGAAGTCTGGACCGAAAACACAGATCCATGTGGCACAGAATAAATAACTCAGGCAATGCTTATAAAAAGAAGAGCAAAGGGCTGAGGAGGGAGACAGAGAAAACATGTATAAAAATTTACAACACTAACACTCACCCTGCAGCCCCGCCTGGAGCGCGTGCTCTCTAGCCTACCTGATGTTCCCCACAGCCACCGCCACCCTTCAGGATGGCCCACAGGGACCTGCCTATGGCCTGAGTCAAGAGGTGCAGCAGAAGACTGAGAAACAGTGCGATTCAGACCTGGAGCAGATCCTGATCCAATGGATCACCTCCGAGTGCCGCACAGATGTGGGCTGGCCCCAGCCTGGCCGTGAGCACTTCCAGAACTGGCTCGAAGATGGCAGGTTCTGTATGAGCTCCCTAACAGACTGTACCCTGCGGGGCAGGCCCCAGTGAAGAGGACCCAGGCCTCCCCACGGCCGTCCAGCGGCTGGGGCAGATCTCTGAGTTCCTGCAAGCAGCCGCACCTAGGGCATCAACACCACCGACATCTTCCAGACTGTGGACCTCTGGGAAGGAAAGCACATGGCTTCTGTGCTGTGGATGCTGATGAACCTCGGTGGGCTGGCAGCCTCTGGGATGCTGGGCTTTTCTCTGGGAATCCCAGCTGGTTTCCTAAGAAGTCCAAGGAGAACCCTCAGAACTTCTCGGAAAACCAGCTGCAAGAAGGCAAGAATGGAGTTGGGTTACAGATGGGCACCCACCGCGGGGCATCTCAGGCAGGCACGACTGGCTGTGGGATGCCATGCTAGATCCTCTGATCTGTGCCCAGCCTTGCCCGTGCCCTTCGTGGGATGATTGTGTGTGTGTGTGTGTGTGTGTGTGTACACATATGTATTTAGCGGTGACATTTTCCCCAAGAGCCCCCTGAGCTCTCAAGCTCCCCTCCACCAGGGTGGGGGCCTGGCCTGACGTGTCTCCTCTCGGGGTACCCAGTGATGGCCCCTTCCCCCGTACTTACTAATACATTCCCTTCTCCGAACTCACAAAGACTGGACCAAGGGTCCTCTTCTTTTTCCCTGGGACCACAATTCAAGGCCTCTTCCTCCGCCTTCATACCTCATCTCTCCTGACCTCTGTGCCCTCAGTCCATTCCTTGGCTGGGGATCAGCGATGCTGCCTTCGGGCCTGCCTTCCACAAATATGCCTCGCCCACTGCAGTGGCTGCAGGGACTTGCTTTACAGGGAGCGGTCTGTGGCAGCTGCCACGCCTGCCACAGCTGGCCTGGGCTGAGCACACATTGGAGGCAGCCGGCCCTGGCAGGTACCCTCTCAGCTTCTCATTTTCCATTCCCCTCACTGTGGCTAAGGGGTGGGGCAAGGGAAGAGGGAAGGGGACCCACTATGGGCTGGGACTTGAAGAATCTGAGTTTGCTGATTTAAATAAAGAATCTCCATTTTAAAATGATTTTACACTAAATGGCAAAAAAAAAAAAAAATCTGTGTGGAACAGAGGGCAAGAACTGACATGCTCTGTTATAATAGTGTTTGAGTCTCTGAACTTTTATTTCTATTTCTGTTACATGAAGACAGTAGTCACCCAGTGTCATCAGGAAAAGTTACTGAAGGATTGTTTAGTTTTCTTACTTTATTATAACTACGCTTTAGTGACGGTGAGTGGTACTTAACTATTCACAACAGATGTTTAACTGGGCTGAGGGCTAGAACTAGCGTATAGTATTTAGGTTGCACATTTTACAAGTCTTTCATTATAAACCTTAGGTATGATGGGAGAATGCAGGGCCATTGATAAAACAGTTAGCTTATTTATTACTCACTATTGAGCATTGTGCTCTAAGAGCGCAGGCAGTGAGTTAGAGTTAACTTACAGTGGTCGCCTAGTCCACCTGTGGTCTCCGTGCTTGGCTTTGTGACAGTGAACCTTCATCTCCTCAGGTGAACTTGGGCAACCCCTCAAGAATCGAGCCTGAGCGGGAAAAAAAATTACTTTGCATGACCAGATCAATATTCAAAAAAGCTCTTGTTGGGTGTTAAGATTGGGCCCAATCCGACAAGTTGTAATTTGACTGGAATAAATGTAGATTCCTGCCCTTGTTTTCTAAAAAGTGACTGAACAAATAAAGGATGGTGGAGTTAATAGTGTAATGATTACCCAAAACCCACCCCACTTTTGGCCGCACTAATAAAAGCTACAATATGGGCAGCAGTTGTCTGCGCCCTTCCCTGGCAACGTGCCGAGTGCTTGAGTTGCAGGGGGTGCTCTGGCCAACAAAAGAGGAACCAGGTGGCAAGGAGGCTGTGCAAGGAACGGCCGAGGAATAGCTCAGTGAGTAGCCAGAGGGGTTGGAGATAGGCGGAAGGTCGTGCTCTCTTCATAAATTTGGGACTTGGATGGATTCTGTGAGGCTTCAGAGGGCAGAATTTCTACACATGAAAAGATTAAGGAAGGCAGTTCACAGTAGGAAAACTGTACAATTTTCTCTTTTACTAAATGCAATGGCAGCCCTATGAGGGGGTGAGCCTCCCACAGCTGGGAGGCTTCAAGCAGAGTGATGTTGCAACGGAGAGTCCTGGAGAAATTGAGTTAGATGACCCTGAAGGCCATGGTTATGCAGAGATTCGGCCTTGGGAAATGATCCTTTCTTCCAGCTGCTTTGTTTTCTCATCCTGAGTGTAATCTGGGTTCATGAGGGTGTTTGTTTTGTTTTGTTTTTTCCCCTCCCTATATAGAGATAATCAGTTCTACAAATCTCATAATTCTGCTGGAGGATGAAATCTTCGCTGATTTTTTCAACACATTTCTTTCTCTCCCGGTAAGTTTTCTCACTCAGACTTAAATCCGCATGTTTGATCAACAGACAAGTAGCGAATCTTACTGAGCCTCGTACCTTCTTTGTTTAGAAAAATAAATTTACCAAATCAAAACTATTTCAATTTAAGTAAATAAATATGAAACAGAACTTAAAATCTTCAGGAGCTTCCCATTACTAATACAGTCAAATCCCGAATCCCCAGCCTCCTTATTCATTGCCTGTGCCGGCCCATCACGCCCTCGGCTGGTACCCAGGCCCCTGCCCGCCGGAGTACAGCCGGCATTCTCTCTCCTCTGCACCTCTCCTTCATGTGTGTGTAGTTTCCATAGCTCCACCTTCCAATGTCTTAACCATTTTTCAAATCTGTTTAAATCCTGTTCTTCTTAAGGAACTTGTCCTTCCCTGCCTCTGTGCCCCTCAGCAGGCTGCAACTCTCCTCTGTTTTACACGCGTGTCTCCCAACCGATGATGACTTTGTGAATTCCTGCAGGGCCAGGGCTGTGGGTTCTTCACTGTGCGCCACTCCCCTCACCAGGTGTTTAGCACACAAACATTACTGAGTTGTTCACAGGAACCAAACCTTATATATAATATTTTCTCAATCTAGGCAACCGAAATGAATGTCAAACATCAAAATATTTTTTAAAGATTTTATTTATTTTTTTTTAGAGAAGGGGAAGGGAGGGAGAAAAAGAGGGAGAGAAAAATCGATGTGAGAGAGAAGCATCAATCAATTTTCTCATGCACATGCCCCTGACCAGGGACTGAACCCCCAGCCCAGGAATGTGCCCTGACCAGGAATCGAGCTGGCGAACTCTTGCTTTGTGGAACGATGCCCAACCTCCTGAGCCACAGCGGTCAAGGCCATCAAAATATTCTTACACCCAAATCTAGACTAATCCTGAATCCCTTTTGGTTGACACCTTTGGTTATATCTTCACCCTGGTGCCTTATAAATTGTGGCTCATCTCAATGAATCCTTTCCTGTGGCATGCCACCCATTAAAAAGTGAACTTTTACTTACCTGGGAGAAAACAGTCTGTGTGATCCCACAAACACTTCTTGGGTGGTCACTTTGTGCCAGTTACTGGGCTTAGCACTGGGACACAGATAATTAATGATACCATCTCTGTCCTCAAGGAATTCCCAGTCTACTGTGAATAATTTAAGGTGCATGACATGGTAAAAGTCTCTAGGAGGCAGTGGGGTGCGAGGAGGAAGAAACCACTCCTACCTGAAAGAATCAGGAAAGGCTTCCAAGAAGAGGTGACACAGGCCAAGTCTTGAAAGAAGACTGGGTATTTGAGAATTGTGGGGAGGGTGATGGGTAAAGAAGTAGGAGGGGAAGCCTGAGGGGTTGAGTAGCAAGAGAAGCGAAGGCATTACAGACAGAACAGATGAGTCAAGGCAGCGAGGCACTCAAGGCTACAGCCCTAGGTGACTCAGGAAGGCCGAAGGGAAAGTGGTAAGAAGCTATCGTTGTGGGAGCAAGAGCTAAGGCTGCCCCTCTGGGCCAAGCCAGGCCTGAGAGAGCAAAGACCTGGCTTTCCTTTTTAGGTCTTTGGTCAGACACCTTTTTACACAGTTGAAAATGCAGAGTGGAGTTTGTGGCCAGAAATCCCTCATGACTTGGTGAGTAAGGGTCTTACTTCATGGCTAAGGGCTCGGGGTGGGGGAAGAGGGAGCTGAATTAGAAGTGTGATTGGGAAACCGAGAGGAAGAAGCTATAGAGCCGGGGAGTAGAGCAGATAGTATCCAGCCAGGTAGACATTTCTCCTTTGTGCGTTCTTACCACTTGGGCAAGAGATGCTGGTAAGTTCTTTCCTTTATACTCTAATCCTTGGTTAGCAAATGGAATTCATCGCTCCTGCTCACTGTGACTGTTGGGTAGTAGGTGCTTGAAGCACTGTGTTGAGAAGAACTCTGAGGCTGCACCTGAGCCAGAGGAGTCTGGGAATTGATTGGCAATGCCTGCCATGGGTTTGTGTTAGAAATCACAGCCCATGAGCCACAGAGTAATTATTTGGATTATAAAGTGTAGCTCAAGGTAAGATCCCACTCTGCAATTCCTAATAACTGCTTGACCACTCTGCTCCAGAGACTGTCTCCCTCTTTATATCTTTTTCCTTGCCTTTGTCCATTGTCTTTTCTTCCCCACCCCCTTCCTGTTATCCTTTTGCGCTGTGTAGACCTTACACTAACCAGTGGCTTCCACATGCCCTCCCAGCAGCAGGTAGGATCAGAAAGATCATCCTAAGCCCTGCTCACAAGGTTTTGTTTTTCTCTGGGATCCAGAGAACTGAGAAAGACACCCGACTCTGATTCTTACATTTGGTGTTCCTTGCAGAATTCCGAAACTTAAAAATTTTACTTTTATTCTCTCTTCTCTGGTGGCTCAGTCTCTCAGGGATCCATCGCATACTCTGCATATGTTATGTGTGAGTCTTCGTGTGCTTTTGTACATGTTGTACAGTTGATACAGGCTGGGAGCCCCCCAAAATTATAAATGTGTTTACAAGGAAGTGAGTTGAATAATGTTGTGACTCGACACCACAGATCTGCTCCTCTTCTACAAGCAAGACTTAGTTCTTTTTAAAAAACAACTTCACCCAGGTACAAGGGAGATTTTTTGATGAAAGCCCAACCCTTTTCTTTCCTACCAATCCACTCACTCCTTTGGGAACCTCAACCCAAGTCTCCAGGCCCCTCAAGTTTTATTTTTAATCAACACACCTTTCCTCTGGACCAGATACAGCAAGTGTGAGGTTATGTGTTGCCCTTGCTAAGCTGCATTTCTTAGAAGTACTGTTCCATTTCCCTTTTCTGTTCCTATTTTCTTTGGACTCTAGGTTTCAAAGTACAAAGGATTACTGACCTGGTTGGGAAAATACCGGTTACCTTTCTTCTGTAAAACCGACCTGTGTTTCCATTATATTCTCTGTCAAGAGCTCATCAGTTTCATTAATTCCCCAGAAGGAGGTAAGCAGGGGGCATAAGTGTGGGGAAATATGGAAGGCCAGGCTGCATAGCGGCCCTGTGCCGGTTAGCCCTGCAGTTAGGTACAAATAGCAGCCACCTTTGTAGCCTCCGACATGCAGGTGGCTCAGCCTGTGCTGTGGCAATAGGCGAAATGTTGGGCTGGAAAATTGGTACCTAGAGCAATCAGAAGAACTCAGATGGGCTGGGCTATTTGTCTCACTGCATCCCTGAATGAGAGAGTTCATGACAAAATTGCCTAAAATATATCTGGAATCAAACACACCTCACCGCTACCACGTGGTCTAAGCCACCATCACCTCTCACCTGGCCACTGAAATCATCTTCGACTCCTTGTTTCTGCTCTTATTCCGCTGCTCATAGCAGCCAGAGTGAGCCCTTAAATACTGAATTCAGATCCCGTCACTCCTCCGTTGGCTGTCCCCAAACCCTGCACCAATGGCTGCTTTCTCAGTGTGAAATCCAATGCCCCTGCAATGGCCTTCAAGGTCCTAGAGCCCTGGCTTCATTTCCTTTCTGATTTCATCTCCTCCTACTCCCCTCCCCGCTCGCTCCATTTTCAGCGCATTGGCCTCCTTGCAGTTCCTCAGATATACGGGACATATTCCCATTTCAAGGCTGTGCACTGGCTCTCCACTCTGCCCGGAATGCTCTTCCTCCATGTCCACGGTGCCTCTCTCTCACCTCCTTAAGTCTCTGTGAGGATCTCCCTACTCCACGAAGACCATAATGCCCACTCGTCCCTGCTGCCCTAGCATTCCCAACCCCATTTACCTTCCTCTACTTTTTCCTTTTTTTCCTGTAGTGCTTATAACCTTCAACCTTTCTAGATATGTACTTATTACGTTGATTGTTCATTGTCTCAATCACTAGAATATAAGCTCCTTGAGGGCAGGGAGTTTTGCTCTGTTTGCTAACATGTCCCGAACACCTAGAAAGGTACTCAGCACTTAGTAGACATATAATAAGTATTTGTTTAAAGAATGAATGAACATAATCTCCATCTAGGATTGAACTGGCACCTTCACTCTCAGTTTAACTAACCAAAGGTAACCGAACATGTTCCTCCTGGGGAAGGTTAAGATTCAGGGGATCCCATTGAGTAAAATGTAAAATATTGCCACTATACTCATCCCTCTCCTGCAATATATGTTTTCGGAAAGTTGGCTTGACAGAATTGCTGTCACGTGGGGACCACAGAAGGCAAGGGACCTTGGCTGGGTGTGGTTTTGATCTTGGATTGTATGTGTGCTTGTGGGTGCCTCACATGTCACTTGATATATATCACTTGATACATGTCACTAGGGGGTGTGGTGTCTACTTTCAAAAGCACCACATAACCAGCACCCAACTCATCTAACTGCCCACCATTGCCCCTCAGGCACACTGAGCGAGTGGGGGTCTGACTGTGCGCAAGGCTGAGGGAGGGGTCAGGGTTAGAGGTCTGTCTCTCGCTCTCACCATGGACTTCTCCTGGCAGCCAAGATGATGCGATGGAAGAAGGCAGACCAGTGGCTACTCCAGAAGTGCATTGGCAGAGTCAGAGGGATGTGGCACTTCTACACCTACCTCAAGGGCAGTGCAGGTAGGTTCTTGGAGCTCTTCCCGGGGCCTCTGCACATTCTTAACAGCTTCCAGAGCGCCCCAGAGCACTTACCGACAGTTACATATGTCTGTGGTGAATATAAAAATTTATTTGTAATGCAGCTTGGGTAAAGTCTTTCAGAATTGGGATCCACAGTGTAAGTTAGGGCAAATGTACTGATAGTCCCTCCCTCCCTCCCTCCCTCCCTCCCTCCCTTCCTTCCTTCCTTCCATTCAGCAGTGGTTCTTGAGCACCACTGTATGGCAGCCACTGTGCTGGTAGTTGGGGTACAAAGATGAACAAGAGCCATAAGTCCCCTTCAGAAAGCTGCCACGATGGTGGGGAGACAGACAGGGAACAAGTAAATGAATAAATTGCTGTAGCAAAAGTGTTGGGATGCACTGCGTTCTGCTCTGTGGGGTCCAGCAGTCGGTAAGTGCAGGGAGGCGCACAGCTGCACTGGCTGGCACTCAGTTCAGTGATGTTAAGTTTTATCCAGGGACAAGCTCTGGTTAACAGGTGAAATCTTGGCTCTCCAGGTAATAGGGAGGAAAGAATCGGGCAGGAGGAAGGAATTCAGTTTGTCGCAACGACTTCAGTTCTGGCAAAGTTGTGAAACAGGGAATGTAGTCTTCAGCACCTTTTGGCCCCAGGGTGCTCCTGCTGGCTACTCTGGGTCCATTTTCTAGGAAATGTTCTTTTCCCTCTAATCTTTATTTTTTGGACCAAACTCAAATGTCTCATGATCCACCCTTAGAGTCCTGCAGTTTTCCCTAAAGTGACAGTTTTTCTAACAAAAAACGCACAAAAGATCCCTATCCATTGAGTCCCTTCTTCCCATGCCTCCCATCCGCCCCCATGTTAGGGCATTTCTGGAGATGGTACCTTAATCCAAAAGGGCGCTGGAGGCAGTAGAGCAAGCTGGCAATGAGGGTATCTGCTGCCACACCCAGATGCCAGCACCAAAGGGGCGAGATTGGGGTGCAGCTCTGTGTCTCCCCTGTTGGCTCTGCAGGTGAAGAGCTGGTGGATTTCTGGGTCCTTGCTGAGAAGATCCTGAGCATAGATGAGATGGACGTGGAATTAAGAGACCACTATCTATCCCTCCTCCTTGTGCTGAGGGCCACCCATCTTCAGGAGGGCTCACAGGTTATGACTCTCTGCAACGTGAACATCAGTAAGAACTGCTAAGCGAAGTGAAATCCCCGGGAGACGTAACCATCCGTCTGGTGTCTGATAACCCTCGGTCTCCTGCTTTGCAGCCTGCCACCCTTTCCACCTTCTATGTATCAAGGATGCCAGTAGGAAACCCAACCCCTGACTGGGGGGAGGGGAGAACGGTGGGGGAGACCAGCTGTCCTTAGGCTGGTACGGGCCTTTTCCCCAGATACTACTTGCCAGTGTAGTTGTCGGCATGGAGTGAAGAGAAATTGGAACAAGGCAATTGAACAGCTCCTCCACCTTCTGAGCCTGCAGGGCTTTCTTCTTTTTTTTAAAATTGGGATTTTCTAGAACAAACTGCAGCCCACAGGCCAAATGAAGTAATGTGGCCTATGAGCTAAGAATGTTTTTATATTTTTAAAGGGTTAAAGAAAACAAGTGTGCAATGCACACTGTGGGTGGCCCACAAAACCCAAACTATTTAGTAGCTGGGCCTTCACAGAAAAAGTCTGCCAACCACTTTTCTAGAACATCAGATTCCTCCATTTTATTATGTATGTAGGTGTGTCTGTGCATATGTATTTAGAGAGGAGGCATTGCTAACCCAAACACAAATGTGTTCCAGAAGATTTACTGTTTGGGATTAGTCACACTAGTCTTTATTCATGGAGATAATTGAGAATTGAGGACATTAAAGTAGGGCTAGTAGGGACTTTTTCAAATTATCCAGCCCAAAGACTTTCCTCCTGTCAGATGCAAACCTGAGAAATCCCATTCAGAGGTACATGTCTTGTTCTTACACGTTTTCACGTGACTTTTGCTTTTCTTTACAATAACATGAAATAGCCTAAAAAATAACTTAAAGAGCCCCATAGAGTGACTTCTTTATTTGAGGAAGAAGGGAGGTAATCAAAGAAACGGGTCACAGTGCTGAGCAAACTCTAAACACATAGCCACCATATTTGTGACCTATTCCCACCCTTGGATTGCATGAGGAACAAATGAAATCCTGTACCCCCCAAAAAAATGCTTGGAAAATTTTTAAAAATCTCACCACTGCCAGATCATTTTCTCTGTCTTCTCTCCAGAGTCCCTCCTGAACTTCTCCATCTGGCATCCCAACCAGTCAACCACCAGGAGGGAGATCTTGAGCAACATGCAGAAAGTGGCACTGTTCAAACTCCAGAGCTATTGGCTTCCCAACTTTTACACCCATGCCAGGACCATCATAGCTAAGGAGGAGTCATGCCAGGGACTGATGCAAGAATATGAGACTCGCCTGTGCAGCATTTGCTGTACCCATGAAGGAGGGCTTCCTCTGGACATGAGCATCAGGAAGCCCCACCACCCCCAGAAGCGATACTCGAGCAGGAAGGCCAAGCTGAAGATGTGGCAGTTGATAGATCATGCCCCTTGGTCTCTAGAATTGGATACCAAGCCAGACACTGACTGTGCGCCCTCCCAGGAGGTCCACCCCCAGGGGAGGATGGCTATACAACTGCCTCCCCTGAAAAAGACCTCTTCAAAGGAGAGAATAACCTGTTCCCTGGAAAAGGATATTCTCTGTGCCGGGAAGTCCAAGATGAAGAAGACAGACAAGAGCTGCCTCCACATGGAGGGCCTCTTTGAGACAAAGTTCTCTGCCCACCTAAGGACTGCCACCCCCATCATCAGTCACTCCTCCTGGATGACAATCAAGAAGGCCGTCAAGCAAAGGCTCTCCTTGAAGTACACCCACTGGGCCTTGTGTGCTGATGTCTGTGCAGGGGGTCCCTTCCGGGACCACCTGAAGAAGCTGAATTTGAAAGTGGAGCTCCGACTCCTGGACCTCTGGCACGATCTGCACCATTTCCTCAGTGTCCTGATGAGTAACAGGAGGACTGGGAATGCCATCTTCTGGCACATGCTGGGCAACCGAATCTGCGAACTCTACCTGAATGAGCAGATCGGCCCATTCCTGCCACTCAAATCCCAAACCATCAAAGGCCTGAAGGAGCTGCTGCCTTCTGGGGATGTGAACCCCTGGATATCCAGAGCCCAGGAGGAGATCTGCCAGGTAGGTCTCACTTTACAGCGATGGGTTAGTGTCTGGAATGCCATCTCAAGACTGATCTAAAATCCTACCTGGCCATCTATACTAAGTTAATGATATAATCTCCCATGTAACCCTTCGCCTATTGAAGAGTTGGTTAACCTTTTAGAAGCACGCTGTACAGAGTCCCAAGAAGCAGCCAAAACTCCAAAGTAGAAGGGCGGGGGGAGTGGTCAATATCCACCTTTCATTCCTTCTTCAATTCCCCTTTTTGTGGAGCCTCCCGAAACTGTGAACCTCAGAGAACGTCACTGAGGGAAGTTTCAATAACTGCTCTAAACATCATGTATTGAAATGCAGGGTCTTTCTTTCCTAGACTAGCCATCAAGGAAATGGCCAATCCCAAAGCATTAGATAAAAGCAGGAGATCACCCTGAAGACTCACAGGCAATAAAGCCTATGCCTGGACTATTGTATTGTCAAGATCTTGGTAGGAAACAAATGGCAGAGTCCGTTGGGAAGCAGACGAGCATGCAAGATAAGGGACTGACTACAAGGGAGTGGGCAGCAGGGTAGGGAAGACACGGAGGAGACTGCGAGACCCCGGGGCCAGAAGGGTGGGTCTCCTTTCTCACTCCTGGGCCTGAAGAGTTGAGGAGAGGGAGTACTTACCAGAGCCAGGGGAGAAAGGGCAAATGGAAGGGAACGCCTGGCAGGACCTGTAATTGGCAGTAGCGGGATGTAGCCAGTCCGCAGTGACCTGGCCAGGAGGGACGAGGGGGAATCGATACGCTGAGCTCACTCTACTCCTGCTCTCCGGTCTCCTGTCAGGACTCTGCACTGCACAAACCCCACCAGAGGCCAGGGGGCCTGTGGATGAGGTCCATACAGCTTAATTTCCCAAGGCGAAGCCAGGCGGAGAAGGGCAGAGAGTAGATCTGGAGGAGCAGGTTGACAAAAATAGCAAATTATTTAGTGCATTGTAAAATATTCACCTTGTAAAGCACATTACCTCTTTGAGGCTTCCTAGCACCTCTCTGAGGCAGACATGGTAGTATTGTTGTCACCCATACAATGAGGAAAATGAGACTCAGAGAGGGTAAGTGGATTAGCCCAAGGCACACAGCAGACTCATGGAGGAATCAGGGTCAGATCCCATGAGTTCTTAGCTCTCAGTCCAGCACAACTTCCAGTACAGAATAGTTACCCAGGGTTGCCTGTCTGGGTGGGATAGGACCAGGTCAGTCCAGTGGGTCCCCTGCTCAAGCTCTCCTGTGCGTAATTCTTCAGGGCTGGAAGCCCAGAGGCCCCCTGCCTTTTGTGAGAGAAGTGTTTCTTCCTCCCCGCTCCCTGAGGACTTTGCTGACACCTCTGTGACGGCATGTCATAATGCTGCTCATCATGCTACCAGTTTGTTTATTTTAATGTAATGAAATAATCTTCACAAGTGGCTAAGGTCTTCGAGTGGGAGATACTAAAAGTAGACACACCAAAAGGAGGTGGTTGGTTTTCAAGACCATTTTGAGAATCATGTGAGATAGTACTTTGGAAAGAAACAAAGATGTACAAGATGGCAAGTAACTGTCCGGTAAACTATTGCATCTCTTCTTAAGTAAATATCGGTTTCTATCCTCTGAGATTCCGAGAGAGGCCCGGTGAGCTGCCATATTTAGAAAAGTGAAGGAATGTCCCCTCATGGGCCATGACTAACGTCTGCTGTTCCACTGTGTCTCCAAGTTAAAGAATCCAGGCGCGGCAGCCTATTCTCTCCCTGGTAAACACTAGCTAGCGAGAGGCCGCAAGCTGAGCACCGCCTCCTGACGCTCTTCTGTGTCTGGATTGCAGACGCTCAGCCGCTGGTTTGACGAATTCCTGGATGAAGAGGACTACTGGTTCCTCACTTTCACGGTAGGAGGGGCTCTGAGTTGGGGAGGAATCCTGAGGCGGAGGGAAAAGAGAGAGAAACTGCTCTTTTAGAAGCCTTATTTGTGAAAGTAAATGAAAATCAGGCTTTTTTTCCCCCTTCAGGCAACTGGGGGTTGACGTAATCCCTGATGTTCTAAATGTAAGCCTCTCAAGGAAAAAGACTCAAGTGCCTAAGCTGACTTTGAAGAAGCCACCTTCATGTAGAATTTTTCCCTTATAGAAAATGGGTTTGATGAGAAAAGGGAGAGGGTTCGTGTGTCAAGGAGCAATGGTTCCAATCAAACTGAAAACCGTCAGCCTAAGTCCATGTGACAGGGAGACACAGGAGGACTGGGCTGTTCCCAAAATCTTGCGTCTGGTCTAGTTCCTGTAGCAAATGCTGTCTGCCCCTCAACCCCCTTTCTGTTAGACTCAGACCAAGTTCATGAGCACCAGGTGGCATAAGAGAGACTCCATCAGCAGAAAAGAGAACCTTCTTCTCTATAAGAGGTTTGAGGAATCCCTGGCATTGAGCCAGGGTTTGGTGAACATGGAAGAGATGGATTCTCTGCAGTGGCACAAACTAGCTTCTGAGGACCTGAGACAAGGCGGGTCTCTCCGGGTGGAACTGCAGGCTCCAGTGTACCTGGCAGGTGAGGGCCGTCACCGCAGTCTTTTTTTGACCATTACATATAGGCAACTGGGAAATAGTAATATTGAACACTTACTGATTATTTACTGTGTCAGCGCTGTGCAGTGCAAAGATTACCTCATTTGCTCTTCAGAATAACCTGAGGTAAGTACTGAGTAACCGAGGTGCAGAGGGGTAAGTGACCCTCCCCTCGAATCCAGTCCAAGGCATTTCTGTGAGTGTATCTTCAACAGCTACCCTCCTTCCCCAGCGTAACACCCCAGCGCCCGCCCCCCGGGACGGTGGAGAGAGGTGCTAGGGAACACCAGGCCCTGCGGGCCCGCGGGCCTGCGGCCACGTCCAGGCTCGAGCTCCGCAAACCTGAGCATGGATTTAACCTCCCTTTAAGCCCCAGTTCTCATCTGTCAATTAGGAATAATAATAGGCTTGTTGTGAAGATGAGCCAAGGTCGTCTATGAAAGCTGTTAGAGCAAAGTTTGGCAGTAGTACAAGTCCAATAAATGTCAGCCTTTGTCACTCAAATGGAAAAAATTGCTTTAATTTTCTATGCTGAGGCGGCCAGAGCCGTGTAGTACTTCTCAAACTTCGATCTGCAACTACTTTTGACTTCAGGGAACGTACCTGCATGTATATATATGTGTGTGCATATAGATAGAAAAATATTTTCACAAACCAGTATAGACGCTAATGTTCTCTGTTCTGTTTCGTTTTTGACAAACGAGTGAGTCATGGCCTACACTTGGAAAAATGCAGATAGAGTAGGAGTAAGCGAAGGCTTTGAAAATTCCGTTCCACCACGCCTTGCCCTGTGAGCCTGGGCCTTGTCTCTTGCCCAAGTTACTCTGTCTCTTTGAGCCTCATTTTCTCATCTACAGAATGGGGACAGTGGCCCCCACTTTGCAGAGCTGTTGAGAGGATTGGAGGTAATGCATTTATGCAGCAACCAGGTGCTCAATAAGTAGTACTTTCTAGATTACATTAAAAAATGTAACACTCAGCCCTTGAAATCCTTCATTGCGCAGTGCACTCCATGTACAAAACAAGATGCCTCGGATGCTTGTCCCGCAGAGCCATGCTTGAGCATGAGTTATTTAAATCTATCGCGCATAGGACCTCTGCTTTACCTCCGGGCTCTACCTTCTCTCCAAATGCCAGGCACTCCAGAATCTTTCCCAGAAATCAAGAGAGAAGTAGAAGAAAGGGTAGCTGGTCAATTTCACCACACGTGTACAGGGCAACAGGCTTTTCTTTCTTGGCCATGGAGGGTCAGGGATGGTCAGGGAGAAGGGGAACCACCCTCTACGGAGAAGCCCCACCCCAGCACACGTGATTACTTCACCCACCACTGGCGCTTTGGAACACAAGCCTGACCTGCCAAGGGCCTCCTGTGAGATGGGGCTGTCAGGCTGCGTAAACTCACAGAGCACCAGAACTAGAATGCTCTCAGCTTTCCATGGAGAACAGGAGTGCCAGTGAGGTGGAAAGGGTGCCCAAGGTTGCTCTGCAAGGGAGGAGTAGAAAGTAGGAGTCCCTTTTTGTGAGAGATGGCATTGATGATGGTGGCATTTGACTGAAGGGCAGCTGGCATTTGCGCATCTGCACCCTAGGATTCCTTCTGGACTCCACCGGTATAACTCAGAAAGCATGGACTACTCTGGAGGGTTCCAAGGCAAGTGTGTGTGACGAGGCAGAAAATCTCCATGGGTCAGGTGTCTCGGAGAAGGGTAGAACCCACCCCCCCGCTCCCCCCCCCGGAGGGTTGAGGAGGCTGTATTTCCTTGCTTCTGATTTGGCCTAGAGAACTTGTACGTAAACATTCCTATAAAGTACTATTGTCATACTTAAATAACATTTTAAAGGCAATACTGTCAACAAAAGTATGTGAATCTTTGAACCCAGAGTGGTCAACTAGACTCTCCCCTGTTTTTCTCTGCTTGATAGATGTAGAGAAAATGACCTTTGAGGAACTCTGCTGTGTGTATCCAAAGGTGGCTGTAGAAAAGATCAGCAGTGACTACAAAATATACTGTGAAAAAGCGCCTAAGATAGGTAAGTGTTTAAACTCGCTGGTAGATTCGAGACAGCCAGATAAGAAAGAATCTCCCAACTCAATAAGCCATAGGCCAAAAGAGGAACCACACTCTGTTTGAAATGAGGAATGGTCAGACTTTGTTGGGGTGTTTTGTTTTTTTTCCCCTTCTACATAGCCATAGAAGGGCACCATGAAAGTGAGAGGAAATTATAAACGAATGAAGATGAGGTTGAAAATTGTTTATTCCCACCTTCTTGCTAAGATATTACTCTGGGGTTTTAAATAATGCAGGTGTGTCTTCTGCGAACTTCCCTGGAGTGAGAGATTTGCGGAAAGAGGTTTGTTGCGTATGTGCCCAGGCACGACTGCTGTAAAGGAATGAGGAAGGCGCAGCTGGGAGGGGGTAGGTGCTGAACTGCCAGGCAGTTGCAGTGCACCTCAGCAGATCCCTGAGGAGGCTCGGAAACCAGGTGACCCTTCAGAGTTGTCCCTCATTGAGTCAAGGGACTTTTGTATATCTACCTTGACTCAGGGAGGATATAACCTTGGGTCAGGCAGTGCCCTTTGGTTTTGGAATGAGTTTCAGAACATTTTGCGTTTCTGACTTGATGTCTTTTGTCAGTTTCAGGAAAATTTCAGTTATTATCTCTTCAAATATTCTGCTTCATTCTCTCTTCTTCCTTCTGATGATCTTACTACACATATTTTTGACATTTCAGCCACATGCTCTGTGTCTCATATGCTTTATTCTGTATTTTCCATATTTTTCTCTGTATGTTTCAGTCTGGATATTATCTTTTGATCTCACTGCTACTTCAATTCTTACTTCAGCTATCTATAATTTGTCATCCTACCCATTCTTAATTTTCTGCATTTCAGTCATTAAACTTTTTATTTTTAGAATTTATTTCTTTTTGTGATATTCAGCTTATGTTAATTTTTTTCTCTTTTAATTACTTAAACTAAATTAATAATAGTAATTTCAAAGTCCATATTTGGATTTCCCATGTCTATTTCAAATGTCATTCTCTCCCGTTGGTTTTTCGTTGCCTTTTTAAATACCTTGTTATTTCTGCTTTATTTGTGAACATTGTCGGTACAAATTTGTAGAGATCACCTGAGGCTCTGGGTGACCTTATTTCCCTCCAGAGCGGGCTCCTTTTACCTGTGACACACACTGAACTAGCATGTCCAAAAAACCTTAATCCATTTAGGGACAGAGTGGCTCAGCTGCCTTTCATTCCTTTTGATGGGCGAGCTGGCTCTGATTTTCCCTACTTTCGGGGGTCCCAATTAAAAGTCTTGGGGTGCTTTTCGGGGCCCCCTTTGCTCTTCTGTAGGTTTTGCCACCTTCTGTCCTGAGACTCTGCCAAAACTCTTTGCTCTATTTCTCAGGAGCAATGGTCACAACTTTCAAATGCCTTGAAAGTGAAAGCAATGACGAAAGGGTTTTTTGCCGTGTTCTAAGGGCCTGTGGCTTTGTCTTCTGTCGTGTTGTGGCTTCAGCAATGCAAAAGCCTCCAGGGTGGCCAAAGGATTGGGGTCAGCTCACCCTTCTGGTTTTTAACCTTCTGTTTGCTTCCAATCTGGATGTTTTTATTTCGTTTTGTATTAATTTCTTACAAACTTACTTGTAAGTTTAAAAGTGCATGATTTTTTACCCAGCATTGCTAGGTGTTTTTTATTGGGAGGGTTCTTTTGATTGTTTTTTCCCCCAATATCTGGTCTTCCATAGTCTGGATTTTATTTTTTCACCTACTCAATTGCATGTTAGATCCAGTATGTATATCTATTGTTTTTAATACTTTTGTAAGCTGTCTCTGAAAGTAGTATCAAACCACACAAAAATGTCCTGTGGGGGTACATTCTGTTTAATAAATGGTTTAAAGGATTGACTATAACCAGGCCATGTTCTGATTTCTGGACAGGTGAGATGAATAGTACATTATTCCTACCCTTGAAAAAAAATCTGTGTTTTTTTCTACAGTATTAACCTCAAAGTGCTCTTCCAATACTAAAATTCTTGGAGTCCATCATTCTTCAGTAGTAATGTTTTCTGTTTAAAGATTTTATTTACTTATTTATTAGAAAGAGGGGAAGGGAGGGAGAAAGAGAGGAAGAGAAACATCAATGTGTGGTTGCCTCTCACGCGTGCTCTACTGGGGACCCAAGCGGCAACCCAAGCATGTGCCCTGACTGGGCATCGAACCGGCAACCCCTTGGTTTGTAGGCCAGCACTCAGTCCACTGAGCCATGCCAGCCAGGGCCAATAGTAATGTTTTAACATATGTTTTGAAATAATGGTTTCTAAATGCCAGTAGGGAACCAGACATCCACCCCAAACTGTGCATGGGGTGACACACGGCCACTTGAAAAGCTTGCTGTGGAAGCAGGGTCCTCAGGAAAGGGGATGGTTTCTGTTAAAGCAAGAAGCTGGAGGGTGGGGAGGACTCTTAACGAAGAGGTCAAGTAGAATCCGTGAGAGTTTGCCGATTACAGAGCAGGAGTTCCGGGGGGCACGTGGAAGCGTTTAGGATGGGGTAGCAGAGGTGTCCAGGAAGACTGTCATGTGGAGCATGTTCTAGTCAAAATGGCTGACTGGGGGAACGATGCGTTTGGTGTTCAAATAATAAGGAGAAGTCTGATGTACTAGGTCTCAGCAGTCCTCTGAGGAAGGTGAGCTCTGGGCCTAACAGCCAGCAGACTTAAATAACAGCCTCGACTGATATTAGCGTCAGCGGTTAAAATCCTCCCGAAGTCTCTTCTGCGTTCATGGCCTCTGCATCCCTAGCGTGAATGGCCTGAGAGGGCAGCAATGGTGGGGACTTGGCTTTTCCGCTCAATGTCTGGGAAATGTCCTTGCTACTCTGTTCCTTCTTCTTCTCTGCAATGTTCTTTATAACGTGGTGTTGCCCAACCTGTGACTTTTTATTAGATCTCAGAGTGAAAATTGTCAGAAATCCAAGGACACGTTCATCCACGGAAAGGAAAACATCCTTCTTGAAAAGGACTGAGGCTGTAAGGAAGCCTTCGCTACAACCCAGGTGAGGCGTGGGCCCTGGCTACAGCAGTGTCTCCAGGCACAGGCCTGGCGTTCAGCATGAACTTATTTTTCTGTGTGTTAGTTTCCAGACTCTTTTCCATATATCGCACGTACGTGTACAGGCATACTTAGTATTTTACATCATTATTTATTTTCTAACCCTGGCACCATGTAATATATATTATGCAATACCTTTTTCAACATTAACTATCATAAACATCCTTTTATGCCTGTATGTATAGGTCTGCCTCCTTCCATAGCATGGATGTAGCATGATTTATTTAACTATGTTTTTCATGGACATATGCATTATCTTCAGTTTTTCGCTGCTATCAGTAGTATCATCATAAACGTCTTTGTGCATGCGTCCTCGCGTGTTTGTGTTTTCCGGATTGTGTACTACTGGAGTAGCCTCCTAACTGGTTCCTACTTCATGTGTCTCCCCCTTTAATGAATCCAAGAGTCAGTCTCAGGTAAGGTCCCCCTGCTAGGCAAGGCCTCTGTGGGCCCTTCTGTCAGGGGTGCCCGCTCACCCTTATTCCACTGACCTCAATGCAAACGGCGCCTCCCCATAAAAAGTCCTCCAAATGTATGGCTTCCCTCTCCTCTGAAACACTAGATCCCCGAAATACAACCCCAAGCACTTACCATGTATTATCTGGTACTGCTCTTTATTTTTTAGATATGCTTTCTACCTTCTTGACTATAAGTTTCTTGTAAGCCATGCCATTCACTCAGTCATTCATTTTTGGTTAATTCAGTAATTATCTCTTAATAACTAGCTCCATGGAAAGTTCTCTTATAGAGGATAAGAATATGTTAGCACATACAAATTTGGTAGTCAAAAGTCACTGGCAGAATATTTGCATTAAGTTCCCAGAAGCATGTTTTCATTTGCTATTAACATTCATAGAGGGTAATAAATCCTCGGTCTCTTCTACGAGTAAACAGAGATTTTCCTCCCTTTCAAGGAACTGAAATTAATCCCTGAGGTTCAACTTTTTATCCCTTTTGCTATTCCAATGTGTACTACTTACCACTTTCCACTATGTCTGTAGGAATACCTATTCTCCAATTCAGTTGAATATGAATATCACGGAAGTCTTTTCTAAATCATATATTCACAGGATCATTAAATTCTAGAGGGAATATGCAGGGTTATGTAGTCCAGTTTCATGTCTTCAGTTAAGACCACAGCAGAATGGCCTGGGTATGTCACAGTTGCAACTCTCTTAACCCTTCTCCCTAGTCCAAATTCAATGTAATAAACAGTTATTGATCATATGCTGTGTCCCAGACACTCTGGATGCTAATGATACAAAAAAGACAGAGTCCTTGCCCTTAATCTAATAACAACTAAATAAATACAATACTGACCTTAAAATGTTTTGATAAAATGTTGAGTAATTAATGTGAGAGTATAATACAAGGAGGAAATTTTGAGTGGGGGTTAGGAAAAGTTAGAGTATCAAAAGAAGCTTTAATCTGCATGTAGGAATAAAATTGCAAAGAAATGGGATATGTTGTGGGTAGGGCTAAACCTTCCAAGCTGAAGAAATGATGCAAGAGATAAACTCAGAAATATGAAAGTGGTATTCAAATGCTCAAAAGTAGTCCAGTGGTGTTAAAGCACAGAATGCATGGGGAGAAGGGACATAAAACATAAAATTAGAAAACTAGATTGAGACTAAAATAACAAAAAATATCTTGAATGAATTATTAAGGAATTTATTTTGATTAAATGGCAATTCATGAGGGCTTCTTGGAACAGGAGTAGCAAAAATACCTCTTATATGGATTTTTAAAATATAACTCTGGTAGAAATAACAATGATAGTGTGAGCAGGCAGAGGCTCAGACTGAAGGCAGGAGTAATAGTTGGAAGGTTGCTGCCGTAGTTCGGCAAGTGACATTGAAGGTCTGAAGTTAACAGTGGGAGTAGACATATAAGGGAAGATGCAGATTTTAAAAACACTGAAGATGAGGAATTGGACTTCTGGAATGGTGGAGTAAGAACCTCAAAATTACCTCCCTATAAAAACTATAGTAAAGCCAGACAAGCCTGTTAAAAAAATATTTAGAACTCTGTAAATTATATCATCCAAAATTTCAGTTTTAAAAAAATTATCATGCCGACCCCCTCCCCAAAAATAACCCACAGGAAAGTATGGCTCATACACAGAGAGGGAAGAGCAGTCATCACAAACTGTCTCTGTGGTGAGTCAGACATTGGACTCCCCAAAGACTTCCAAGCAATATGGTCAGTGAACTAAAGGAAACCATGTTTAAAAAATTGAAGGAAAGTATGGCGAAAATAACTCATTAAATGAAAATATTAATAAGATAAAAATAATAAAACAGAACCAAATAAAATCTAGAGTTGAAAAGTATAATAACTGAAATGAAAAATTCACTAGAAAGAATCAACAGCAGATGTGAGCTGGCAAGAAAAATTAGTGAACTTGAAATTAGCTCAGTAGACATTATCCAGCCTGAAAGCATCAAGGAATAAACATCAAAGGACCTCAGAGCCCTGTATATTGGGAAAAACATCAACATACAAATAATGGCAGTGTCAGGAGAGGAAAGAGAGATAAAGGGGCAGGAAAAATGGTTGAGTACATAATGGCTGAGTACTTAATCAAAACATACTAGGAGCGTAATGAATTCCAAGTAGAATAAACTTACAAAGATTCACACTTAGACACATTCTAGTCAAACCATGGAATGACACCAAGAAAAATCTTAAATGCTGCAAGAGAAAACAACTTACCTGATTCAGGGGAACAACAAGGTTAACATTTACATCACATAAGAAACCAGTAAGATAAAGAGAAAAATCCGGACACAAGAAGGTTTCCTGTAAACATCAGCAACACTGATAAACCATTAGCTCTGCTGACCAAGGAGGGAAGTAAGATGGCACTGGTCACCAAAATCTGGAAGGAAAGAGGGGACTTCATCATGGACTCTGCAGAAATTAATATGGCCATAAGGAAATGTAGGGAACAAATTAGGTAAATGGACAAATTTCTAGAAGTAACCAAGTTTCTGAAGCTCACTGAAGAAGCAGAAAATATGAATAAATCTAAAATAAGAGAAGAAACTGAATTAGCAATTTAAAATCTTCTCCCAGAGAAAATTCTACACACAGGTGGCTTCACTGCAGAAATCTATGAAATATTTAAAGGATACGTAATGCCCATAGTCCATGAACTCTGAGGAAATAGAGGAAAAATGGAACACTTGCTAATTTACACTGTGAGGCCAGCCAGTATTATTCTGATGCCAAAGCCAAATAAGGATATTATAAGAAGAGAAAATGTATAGACCAACATTCCAGTCAAATCTAGATATAAAAATCCGCAACAAAATATTAGCAAACCAAATCCAGCAACATACAGAAAGGAGTATATAGCATGTCCAAGTGGGATTTATTCCAGGGAGGCAAGATTGATTTAATAAAAAATCAATTAATATGATATACCATATTAATAAAAATAACGGTAGAATTCCACATGATTATCTCAATACAAATCCAGGTCCCATTTATGACAAAAAAAATTTTCAGTAAAATTAGAAGAGAAGGGAACTGTCTCAGTCTGTAATATTAGGACATCTATAAAAACTTGTGGCTAACATTGTACTTAATGAATTAGGTATATAAAGGAGGAAGATCAAGATGAACAACTCATGGGTGTGTGTAGAAAGGTTTAAAAAAATAGCCATGACATAAAGATGGCATTCAATGGGCAGCTGAAATTTGAAGTGGAGCTCATGTGAACTAGAAATGTAGTTTCACCATTATCGATAATTCGATCCACTTCTTCATATCAATAAAAATTGAAACCATGGAGGGAGGCAGAGATTACCCGAGGAAGCGGGGGAAAGCCTAAGGATTGCAGATGAAACATTAGGGGCACCTCTATCTGAGAAACACTGAAAAGAAATCAGCAAAGGAAATTGAGAAATAATATTGATCAATAACTGCTGATCACTCATGCTCTACCTCATTGAAATGACTTCCAGTCAGGGGTTGTTTTAAATCCATAATGCAGAAAGAGGGTTTCCTAGGGGAAAAAAACAAAACAAAAGTGTTTGCTTTAAAATACCTCTCCTCCTTTTCCATTGGGGTTGTCAAATGATTGGACCAATCTTAGGATGGATACATAAAATATCTACCTCCAAAGAAATGGAGTAAATAATTCATTCACCCTGATCCTCACACATGGTAAAAGGCCCCACCGCCTGGGAAAAGCCATTGCCCCTTCCCCGAATGCAGCAGAATCCAGGCGCACCATGCCCTTCTCTCCGCCAATGATGCTTTCCTGTTCTCCAGAAACCTGACAGAGGTCCTCCTGAACGCACAGCACTTGGAGTTCTTCCTGGAGTTCCTCAGAGAGCGGCAGGCCGATGGCCCGTTGCGGTTCCTGGTCGCTGTGCAGAGGATGAGTGCTGAGGTGGATGAAAAGAGTTGCAAGTCTATCGTTGAAAACATAATGAAGACTTTCTTCCATGGAAAAGTCTCTCCTGGTATGCAGTCGCCTCCTGACACTGTTTCCTTCCCTCTTTAGTCGCTTAGAAGAGTCTGGAAAAGAGCCTTTCTTAAGTCAGTCCCCTGAGAGAACGTAACAGGGTAGTGGCCACACAGGGCAGTACTGAGACAGAGAGGTCATGAACAACAGGGAGCAGGGAACAATAGTAAATCCGAAGAAGCCAAGTGCAAGACACCGGCCCTTATATATGAAATACATACTCTCATTTTATTCAGCCCTGAAATTAGGATTTTATTTAATCCCTATAAGGTAGGGATAAATAGCTCTACTTGACTAATGAGGAAGGTAGAACAGACAGGAAACTTATCCAATTGGTGGAACTTGAACTCAAACTCAAGTTGTTTGACCATCAAATCAGCTAGACTGGAGTTAGATACAAAAGTGAGAGTTATCTGTGTGCAAAATTGGAGTGTCCACCACTCATAGGTTATAAAGATAGTTGTGCCAAGTAGCAGAACTGAATCCTTGAAAATCCTCATAAATTTTGTATTGTTTTCTTGCCTGAGGTGGGAGGGTAAGTCTGACCCATTTAAATTCATTTGGCCAAAATCAGAAGTTGCATGTAAGGTATTGACCTGTAAGTCTGGAGGCAAACAAAAGGGGGTGAGCTTAATCTCATCTTGGAGGTAAACAAATCTATAGCAAAGTAATGAAGATAAAGCTTCCTATTTTGACACAGATGAACAGATGGGGTGTGTGTGTATGTGTGTGGTTTGCTTGTGGTTAAACCAAGATAAGGTTATAGATTTTATATAAATGGAAAAAGGTAAAATTGGCAAATCTTATAAGAAATATTTGTTAAGTCTTGGGATATCAAGTTCTGTACATTGTTTTATGAACTAGAGGAGAAAGAAGAATAAACAGATACTGTCCTTGGTAAGCTTTTAACTCTTATTAATCAACACCATAGTCTTTGAACAAAAATCCTATTGCCCTTAAAATATGTATTTGTAATCTTGGAATTCCCAGCAAGTAACTTTAATCTCTTATTCTTATGCTCTCTTCCTAAACCAAAAACTTCAAACTAGCTGCAAAAATGAGTCTTTTAAACACTTATTCCCCCTACACACTTATCTGATATTTGATTGGATAGGTTACTATTTGCTCTACAAATACACTTGCACATAATATTCCAGAGATGCAGGGGAGATTTTCAAACAAATTGTGGAGAGCTCAGAGTCTAACCAGGTTGCAAATAAGGAACTGTAAGACTCTAAGATGAAAAAACACCAGCTACCTTGGAAATGGCAGACAAAGAGATGATGGTTTCCCTCTCTGTCTCTGTCTCTGTCTCTGTCTCCCACTCCCTCCCCCTCCCTTCCTCTCTCCCCCTGTCATTTTCTAGAAGAAATGCTGCAGTGTGACGCCCCTATCATCAAAGAAATTGCTCAGATGCGTCGGGTCAGCACAACCCCGTTGTTAGCGCTGCAGGACTATGTCATGAAATCTCTGGAAGAAAAGTGGTGAGTATTGCTTGGTGAAGGCAGCAAGCCTTTCAGGAGCTGCTCATTGGGTCCTGAACGCCACATGACTCAAGGAGTTTCATAATCCACTCACTGAGTTCATTGTCAGAGCCTCTCCACAAAAGAAAAGCCAAACTTATCTTGAACCCTCTTACTACCTACCAACCTCACGTGTGTGCGCACATGCTCACACACACACAAACACACACACACATACACTGCTGTTCATTTGGTTGAACAAGGAACAACACAGTAGTGATTGGGAAGGACAGGCTGACATTAGCAAAGGATTGAAATGGTAAGAAGAATATTTTTGAGTATCTCAACATTCCCCAATTTCTACTTCGACTTCCTCCATATGCAGAGGTAGGTTTGCCTTCACTGTTACTTTGAGATGCCAGATTTTGGCCTTCTTTGATCTTCTTGACCTCCATGTGGCAGGTTTAAAGATTACCAGGAGTTATTCCCAGCTTATCCTCAAGAAGTGCAAACCAAAGTACGAACTCTGCCTAGGAAGCCCTCGAAGACGACAGCAACTCAACATCAGGCATCCCAGGTCAGTGAGGAAACCAGTGCAGACGAGATATTGGGGACAAGAAAATCCCTGCCTAGGTGCTGTCCACCGTAAAAAGGAGTTTCACTGTTAGCTTATTGAGTCACTAGGACAACTACCCTTTGAGGTAGGTTTTTAAAATCCCATTTTACAAAGGAGGAATCCGAGTCTCAGAGAAATTGTTACAGTGAGAATTTAAGGAAGCCCCTCTCTTTGCTCTCTTTGTGACAGGTATAGAAACTCGTGGAGATCAAAATGTCAGTCTTTTAAATTTAATTTAATTTCTATTCCTTTCCTTCCCTTCCCTCCCCTTTCTTTTCCTTTCCATTCCATTCCATTGCTGAAAGCTACTTTCAAGGACATGGGTTGACCATGAAACCAAGTGGGTTTGATAATCCTCTCTCTATGCCCAAATTAAACTTACACATTCAGTCACTAGGACATAATGGAATAAAGCAGTTCTCCACTTACCCAGGTGAGCCCCTTACCAGATGAGAAAGGCAAGGCCCAAACACGTGTCCTGCAGACCAGCACCCCTGCAAAGGGCTGAGAGCAAACAGTAGGTGCCGCTTCCTCATTCCAAACTTACCAGTCACCTCACTCAAGTCTTTCTCCCATTGGAGGAGATAAAAAGGGGAAGAAGAGAAGGCAGGTGTGTTATTCAGGAAAGGCTTCATAGGGTTTGAGAAAAACAATACACATCATGTTAAATAATCTCTTAAATAACCACTTGCTCAATGTATTATACAGTTAGTTTGTATCAGAAAAATTTGAGCCCAGCTCTGACTCCAAAGATCATGCCCAGATATGTCTGAAAATAATGCCTATGCCCATTGATCCAACACTCCAGATATAAAAATGGGCTTCCCTGGCCTTTCTTCTTTTTATTTCCTCCATACATGAATCAACTCCATGTCCAGGTACCTGGAATGATCATGTAGGACATTGGAAAGAATACCACACCCGAAACCAGAATTCTTTGTTTTAATTTCAGGTCTTTCTGTTGCTCTTAGATAGATAAGATATAAAGAAACCAACATGTACATATGCCTACTTTGTGCCAAGCACTATATCAGGGTTTTAATATGTCATCACTAACCCTCCTCACAACCAGGACGGCTGTGGTCCTACAGGTGGATACTTGGATACATGGGTTAAATGGACCTGCGCTGCACAATTAGGGGGAAGCCAGGCTCCATAGTCAAAGTTTCCGATCCTAAATCCACTGGTTTTTGTACTTCACCACTGGCTCTGTGAAGCCACGCTTCTACTCAGGCTCCCTGTCTGCAGAATGAGACAACTAAACTAGACCAACATGGTGCTTTCTGGCACTCGATATCACTTTCTAAAGGGGCAAATGAACTGGAGAAGGGTCCCTTGGTGTCTATGAAGAAATGGGTGAAGAAGCTCATAAAATGAAGTTGTGTGTGCGCGCGCTCACATGTGGTCTGTGAGAGTGTGCATCTAATTACATTTTTCTTTTTTTAACGCTTAGAAATGGTTTCATTCATTCCTTTTGTCCTCGGCATTTCATAATCTGCCCGAGCCATTATTCCCTTCTTGTGAGTCAAGCTCATCTCTGTGCTCTGTTTCTTCCCGTTTTTAGCTCTCACACCTCCTTTCCCAATCACAACATCTCAAATCTTCACTGTTGAGAGACAGTGGTAGAAAGAGCATTGCCAGTGGCCCCAGATACGCCTGGATGAAGCTGTACTCTTCCACCCAGCAGCTGCTTAATCTGGGGAAGGTTATACAAGTTCTCTGACCTGAGTTTCATGTGCTTTAAATTGGACCTTAAAATTATTTCTGTTAGCCCTGTTTGGGTGGCTTAATTGGTTGGAGCATTGTCCTGTACACCCAAAGGTTGTGGGTTTGATCCCCAGCCAGGGCACATACCTAGGTTGAGAGTTCGATCCCCGGTGGAGGCATGTATGGGAGGCAACCCATCGATGTTTCTCTCTCACATCAATGTGTCTCTTCCCCTGCCACCTCTAAAATCAATAAATATACCCTTGGCTGGGGATTACAAAAAAAATTATTCCTTTTAAAGGAGGTATTGTGATGATTGCATGCAGTGAATGTCAAGTTCAGACAAGTAGTTGACTCCCAGTGAACAGCAGCTGTGTAGCAAATATGTCATACCTCTCTCTCTTTCCCCAGAAGAGATCCTGTCTGAAAATGGTCAACTTTATCAAGAGCTTTTGCAAATACCGCAGATTTATGTCTAATATCAACATGCGCCCGGAATTAGAAGAATATCTGCACCTGGAAGTACACAATAACAAGGAAAGTAAGTCACATCTCTATTTACTTCCCTTCCCTCTTGACATTTCAGCAACAGGGCTAGACCAGATAACAAGCTGCAGAGCTATGGCTCTGGGTCAGCCATGCCTGCATTAGTCTGAGGTCCAGCAAGAAGCCTGGGTACAAAGCTAAGCTCAGGCCTGCTTAGAGAGGGTGGAAAACAGCCAGCCTAAAGCAATGTGAGATCTCACTTTTTTTTTCTCCTCATCTGAGGACATGCTTACTGATTTTAGAGAGAAGGGAAAGGAGGAGAGAAAGAGGGAGAGAAACATCGATGTGAGCCCTGGCTGGTGTGGCTCAGTGGATTGAGCACCAGATTGTGAAGCAAAGGGTCGCGGGTTCAATTCTCAGTCAGGGCACATGCCTGGGTTGTGGGCCAGGCCCCCTGTAGGAAGCATGTGATAGACAACCACACATTGATGTTTCTCTCCTTCTCTTTCTCCATCTCTTCTCCTCTCTCTAAAACTAAGTAAATAAAATCTTTAAAAAAGAAAAGGAAAAAAAAATCAATGTGAGAGAGAAACATCAATTGGTTGCCTTTTGTACAAGCCCTGACTGGGGACTGAACCCAAAATCCAGGCATGTGCCCTGACTGGGAATTAAACCCACAACTTTTTGGTTTATGAGATGATGCTCCAACCAACTGAGCCACACGGACCAGGGCAGATCTCACTTTTTACAAAACTATTTCCTTATGTTGTTTGATTGTAGCAGAGATTTATTAAATTATTCCATTCACTCATTCAGCACACTTTTTGAGAATGTGGTGGGCACCTCCCAGGGTGCTAGTGATACAGCAGTGAACATGCAGCATAAGATCTGCCCTCAAGGCACCTCCAGTTTTGAGGGGAAGGTAGAAAATAAGAGCCATAGGTGTTGGAGCCAGATTTTCTGGGTTGGAATCTGGCACTTTCTAACTGAAGGACCTTGTAAAAGTGACTCAGTGCCTCAGTTTCTCATCTATAGAATGGAAAAAATGGTGCCTACCTCATAGAGTTGTTGGGAGGACTAAGCGAGTTAATATACATGAAGCCTCTTGGAACTATTCCTGGTGAGAGTAAGTGCTATAGACAGGTTAGCCAGCATTCTTGCTGTTAGTGTGTCATTGTGATGAGTAATCCCAGTGATGCTAGCAGGAAGGCCCTAATTAGTGAAGGATCTGGAAAGACTTCTTCCGGAAAATGGCATAACGTTGTGTTTTTAGGGATGAGCAAGATAGGCAGGCAAAAGAGGAGGGGAGTGATCTCCAGGTCTGCAGAGAATCCTAAAATAGGAAAGAGGATGTGCAGTTCAGGACCGTCTGGGCCAGTATGGCTAGAGAGGAAGGAGACGGGAAAAGTGTCTGGGATAAGACTGGAGGGGTTAAGAGTGACAAATCTCATCTCTCTTGATGACTTCTGAGTCGGTCCAGCTTTCACTTTAACCAACAGGGCTGCGAAACTTAGATATTTTGCAACTGTTTCTATGAAATAAATGCCTTAAAATGGAAATAGTGTGACCCTCTAAAAACATTGTACTAATTAAACTCTCACCAACAGTATAAATAAGGGCCACATTGTCATCAACGCAGACTATTACACATTTTTGAAAAACTGCCCTTCTGGTAGATGAAAGATAATGTACCATTCTTATGTATATTTTAGTATTTGAGCGCCTTTATTTATTGGTCATTTGTATTCTTTTAGAACTGTTTGTATCTTTTGTCTATTCATCTATTGGAATTTTAATATTATTTTACTTTCTAACTTGCAAAAAGGTGTCGTATGTATGTTTCATGGGCTGCTTCACAACCAAACATTTAGGATTTAAGAGTAGTTCTAGCTTTTTGTTTTTTCTTTTGAGTAAAATCAACTGAAATCCTTGTGCCCAGGGTGTAGGAAGTCCCAATTCACCTTCCTTTGACTTCCTACATCCCTTGCATCGCATGCAAGCCCAGAACAGGGTGCTCCCGCAGCCCCCGGGGCGGATCCACCTGACCCGAGGTCTGTTTTCTATCAGTATAGGCCTCTCCATGATTGTTATGTTCTGCAATTATTTAACCCATTTATCATTATCCTTGGTAATATTCTTTTCTCTGAAATGTACATTGTCTGATATTAAAGTAGCCACGATTTTGCTTTTGTTAGTGTTGGCATATGCAACTGTTTTCATTTCTTCCTTACAACCTTTTTAAAGCCTTACATTGAAAGGGTTTTTCCTGTAGCCAGTATGTGATTGGGTCTTTCTTTAAAAAAAAAGGTTCACACTGATGACCTTAGTCCAACTGAGAGGCAATTGTTAAACATTCAGTTATTTTATGAGCCAGTTGACAAACCATTTAATAGACTGAAATCAACCGTGGTGGGAATATTTGCTTTAGAGACTGGCAAATAATACAATCAGGTCTCTCCTACCCCTACCAGAAAAAATTTGTAAGCGTACCACTGCATCTAGATTTCTTGGGTGGATTTAGCATCCTTTTTCCTAAAATCCCTCTCATATCAATTTCCACTGTTATTTGGACTTTTTTTTTCCCCTTCAAACTCAAGTCTCAGAGATAAATAGAGACTATAAGACACTCAGGAGAAGCCTTATGCTTTGTAACCCTAGGACCTAGTACAAGGTGTGGGACAATAACAGGTGCTTGGTATTCATTGAATGTTGTAGTTACCCTACCATCCAAAAGAGTCCTGTCTACACCATAGGGAGCATCATGCTGACATCAACTATTCCTGAGCAGACATCTAGAATAAAGGATTTGTAGGAGGACTAGTGAATTCTAGAACTGGATTAGACAGTTTCTTAAACCCAGCCAGGCAATGAACTAGGGTATACTTGTCAGATCCAGCCCAGAATTGTTCTCTTCTCAGCCCTGAAGCCCTATGAATGGATTGCTTTTAATATACCTTAGTCAATAAATTCTAAAATAACTGTCTTGGTTTTCTGAGACACAACCCAAACCTTCTAGAATCTTCTATGCTCTTCTTCACTCATTCCTGTCTCTTTTCTACTGTAGCTTGGTACCCTCTGTTTCTTAATTAACTTCTTTACTCTTCATGTTTTGGCTTTTTCTTTGTTCTGCTTTCCCAGTTTACTTCTAAATTATTTCCATGATAAACCTTGAAGAAGCATTATTTAACCATGCACTCTATTTTGAAGGTCACCTCTGCATATTTAGTTCCTGCAGAAATGTTAGGCATTCACATAACTATGGTGTGTTTCTGTCCCTGTTAGATAAGCACCAGGAAGACACGTTTCAGTACACAGCTAATTATTTCTTGGTATATATGTTGTCATACCATCTGAGCAGCTGGCTTTTCCAGCGCTCCTTTAAGTCCAAGTGAAAGGTTGAGCCCATGGTAGGGAATCAGTATTTCAATAGGCCCAAGGGTGGATCCGCAGTTTCCCATCTTCATTTTAGGTGTGCCCAGATTGAAGGCTTCAGGAATAAGAATGATTGCTCATGCTAGATTGTTAATTCCTTCCTCTCTCTCCTTCAGATTTCTCTCCACCATCCAAAGATGCATCAGGACGCCCATCCCCACATCACTCAAATGTCCGGGGCGCAGACGAGAATGGAGATATGACCCTTGTGAAGCGCCGCATTTTAGGTCACAGGATTATCACTGTCAACTTTGCCATCAATGATTTATATTTCTTTTCTGAAATGGATAAGTAAGTTACCCATCTCCCCTTCCCCTTGTGGCTTTCCACACTTAGTACCTTCCGGCAAAGACTGGGGTGGCTTGGAAGCGGCACAGGGATGTCTGAAAAGCTCACTGAATGCTGTCACGCTGTCAGTCTCCACCATTCTGACTGCTGGGTCCTAAAAGCTCTTCGGGACGCTGACTTCCCAATAGCAAAACACACTTAACTTCTACCCAGGGCGTGGAGCCCTCTTGTTCCATTATTTATTAATACGATAGAAATCTCTTTTGTAGCACCATTGGACTAATAGTGCTTTAGTTGAAGCAAGGAATTATAATAATGCAGTTTGTGTGTGTGTGCACGCATGACATTAGCAGATATTTTTAAGTTAAAAATTAATGTACATTCACTCACCTGTCAAACTTTTGATATAAAGCCAAAGCCACTCTACTAACTGGGAGTCCACATGTTTTTCTTGTATGTTCTACCCCTATAATGCTATCTACTAATTCTAATTTTTCTCTTGTTAATGTGGGGCAAGAACTTAAAGGTTACTGCAAAGTAACTTAATCTCTCTGGATTTTTATACTTGTCTTTGCAGTGTTTGAAATTGCAGTGCCACACCTAACCCAATAACATTTTTTTAAAAACCACCTACCTTTGTTGGAACATTCCAAAGCATTCCAATTTGTTTTCATGGAAACAACAAATACCTTTATTTTCATGTTTGTATTTTGTTAATTTTCATAAATTGTGAATTACAGTAACAAGTACAAAAGGCAAAAAATATTTGGGAAGAAACATGAAGAACTCTCGGTAAATGTCTGCTTCAGCTCATTGGAAAAATGTGAGCATGTCCTAAGGAGGGCGCCATCAGTGTAGAGTCAACTTGCTGGTGTGTGTTGCGGAAGGTGCAGAGCACTGGCACCTCAGCACTTCAGTTAGGGTCAAGAGCTCTCCCCCTGCACTTCGGTGAAGGACTTAGCTCAGCTCCGCAAACACCATGGATAGCTGGATTATTCTAGGCATTAGCTTTGGCATTAGAGATACAAAAAATTGCGAGTAAGACATGCTCTGTACCCTCCAAGATCCCGTAGAAGTGGGGATGGCAGAAAAGACACAAAGGCAGGCAGTGGGACGCTAGGTGCTATGGTGGGGTCAGGAGGTGTCGTAGACAACTGAGTCCTCAGGGGTGGCTCCTTGGGAGACAGGTCACCTCGGGTGAGTTCTGAAGAGTAAGGAGGGGTCGGTGAGAATTTTTTTAACATGTGTAAGGGGGAGGCGGACGGGGAACAGAAAGGAAACCAATTGGGGTGAGCAGCCTCCCAGAGCTGCTCCAATTCTGTCGCTATCATCTCTGCTTTCTCACTTGGTCCCTGCAAATCGCTCTCTGAACGGCTCGCCAGGAGCCTTTTGACAATGTCAGCCAGAGCATAGCAGTCTCCTGCCTAAAATGTCCCAGTGGCTTCTCTTTCCACTAGAATCAAGTCCAGATATCCTCCCGTGGCCTACACGAGCAGGACCTTCCTGCATCTCGGAGCTCAACTCCTAATACTGGCCACTTGCCCAGACCCCAGCTCGGAGGCTCCTCGCTCTGCTCTCCCCACCCGCTGACCTGGCTTCAGACGACTGTCTTCTTCCTCATTGTTCCAGTCTCAGTGCCCGCCCCCTTCCCAGTTCCTTTGTGCGCTCCTGGTGTCTACCTAGCCTCTACTGGATATATAATTATTCACCTGTTAACTTAGGCATCTCCTCCCCTCATTGACTGTGAGCTCCTGGAAAGCTGGACTTTGCTCACTGCTGCACTCCCTGCTCCTAGAACGGTGCCTGGTGCAGAGTAAACCCTTAACAAATGTTTGTTGATGGAATACATGAATGGATATGGGGAAACCTAGTGTTCTACTGTTAGGAAGACTTTAAATTGTTAAGCTTTTAAGTGGCCTGAGAGAAGTCCACTGAGAAGCTGTGTGCATACATCAAGATAAGGTCTGACAGATCGTGGATGGTTACTGAAAGAATATGCTGCTAGGAGACAGAAAGTAGCGTGGTGGCTGCCAGAGGCTGGGGGCGGTGAAGAATGGGGATTGGTGGTTAGTGGGTGTGGAGTTTTAGTTTGGGCCGATGGAAACCGTTCTGGAGACAATGATGGTGAGGATCACACAACAATGTGGACACGATGCCACTGACCTATACACTTCAAAACTGGTAAATTTTAGGTTATGTGTATTTTATGATAGTAAAAAAATTTAATAAAAGGAATATGTTGCTTCAGAGACCGGTGGTAATTGTGAGAGGGTCAGCACAGGAGGGGAAAGAAAGAACAGGATAGCCCGTAGCCCTCGAAGCGCTCAGAGAGCCGAGATGGGTAAAAGGGTAGGATGGGATAAATAAGGGAGTTGGGGATGGAGAAATACACTTGGAGAAGCACTCAGTGTATTATCTGACATGGGGCAGGCACTCAATTAGTGTTTGCACATAGATGAATTATGATTGAATGAAGCCGGGCCGGGATTTGGCCCTGTCTACCTTTATTAGGCCCAAAATAGGTCTGTCCTGGCTGCCCTAATTAGTCCCCACTTTCCTCTTTGCTGATCTCCTCTGTACTGTCTCTTTTAGATTTAACAACTTGGTGAGTTCAGCTCATGTGCTGCAAGTCAGCCGAGCCTACAGCGAGAATGATGTGATCCTAATGAGGCTGAAACTTAACGTTATATTAAACCTCTACCTGCAGTCGGAGGTCCCTCCAAAGCTGAGGGTAAGGGGGACTTGCACTCCCCTCTGGCCTTGTGCCAAGGAACATTTTCCCACAAGAACCCCAAAAGCTAATTGTCAGGCATCTCCTAAGCCCCGGGTCAGCCGGATGTCCTTTACCTAGCAGCGCCACCAGAAGCTTCTGCCTTCTGGGAAGGGGGTGGTCTTAAGGGTTGTGGGGGCCTTCCCTGGAGCCTCTGCCAGTGACGGGCTCCACTTCTGTGGGCAGGTGAACATCTCTGAGTCCCAGAAGGATTCCATCCTTGCTGCCATTACAGAGGGCCACCTAGATCGGAGCATCTTCCACGGGGCTATCATGTCTCTCTTCCCTGTCATTATGTACTTCTGGAAAAGGTAACTCTCTCCTCTGCCCTCACCAGGTCAGGAAAACAGTTTTGACTTTCTAGAGAGTTTTCTATCTTCCTGTAGCTCTCTCTTCCAGTTTCCATATTCCTGGGAACCAAGCTGGCATATCCTTCCACTCACTCTGCTTCGGCCCTCACACGCTGACCCTGAACACTGATTCAGAGGACGGAAGGCCAAGCGAGGCTGGGGATCAGAATGCCTGGCTCCCAACTCTCCCTGTGTTGGCTTGAAACGAGGATGTTGGGTTGTATTAGGCATAGGTTCCTCACCTTAGGGTGACAGTGGACCACAGTTACTTGGGAGCAGTTCTCTCAAGTCTGACACAGCTGTGCTCGTGTTTAAGGAGCCTCATGGGGACAGTTGGCCAGAAGGGTTTGGCTCTGTTATGCCCACATTCCACAACTACCAATAGGGGCCTAGTTGCTAGATAATTCAATTTTCAAGAGGAGCTAGAAATTCAGATTTTTGTCCTGTCTCCCAAGTTTCAAGTCGCAAATGTGACAACCAGCTCAAACATACAGCATGGTGAGAAAATTGTGAAGGCCAGAACCAAAACCCAAGCAAGGAGAGTATCTGCAGGACGAGTGTGAGCAGGGCCCACTGGTTCCTAACCTGTCCTGTCACGGTGTGGGCTGGGAGACTCGCCTACGTTGTCCCACTTGCTCATTCATGCCTGTGGTCCACTGTGGCCCCAGCTCACAGCTTCCACATGGTCAATGCCAGCGCCCTGTGTGATAGTGACTCCAGGACAACTGGCTGAAATGGTCCCAGGCCAGGCGAGTTGGGGTGTTGAGATTATTATTGTGATTCCAGTTCTTAGGGGTTTCCCTCTCCCACAAAAAATAAGAAGAAGAAGTTAGCTTTGTTAAAATAGAAGTGTAAAGGTTGCTTACCAATCACCAATCCATTTTTAAATCCCTAAGATAAATTATTTAATACAGGATTGAAAGAAATAAAAAAAAAAAAAAAACAACTAAGTTCAAGATAACCAGTTGAGCCTTTTAAACTCCAGTTGTTATCTAGCACTTAACTCCAGACTTCTGCTAACCAGAACTAAATAGCAATTCATCCTGAAACTTTCTGGAGGATCAGAAGCCCCGGGAGGATCAGAAGCCCCCTTGCAGGGATCAGAAGCTCATCCCTGTCTAGGAAGCATAGGGGTGATTCCAGGAGGCTTTGGATGCTAATCCTCATGCAACTGGTTCTTTGCTTGCTTTCCTATGTCCTTATGGAGAGTTTTATGTTGTGCAAACAATATCCACATCTATTATCTCAGATGAACCTCTCAACAACCCTGCAAGGTGGGTGGTGCAAAGAATTATTGCCCCTACTTTATAGATGAGGGAACAGGTTCTGAGTGATTAAGGGGCGTGCCTAGCTAAGTGCTGCCACTTGGGGAGTGGATTAGAAGCCAGGTCTCTTGGTCTCTCAAGCACCATGCAGAATGCATCCTTGCTCATTGGGAGATCCGGGGCGGGAGGGAGGCCCACTCAGCAGGTGGAAGAGGAGAAACCCACGTGATTGGGGAGAGTGTCCCTGGGGGAGGAGGAAGGAGGAGGCAGTAAAGACCACCAGAGCCAAGGCAAGATAGAAAATAAAGGCAGGACGAGCCTCCAAGGGGCCCGATCTCAGGGAAGGCTGAGGGAGGGCAAGGGGCTAGCAGCCAAGGAGGACGGGGTGCGGGCTTCGGGGGAGGACAGTTGGCAGGCCCTAGTGAGTCCGTGCCTCTGAGTTCCTGCGAGTAGCCAGGTTTCCCTCCAGGGCAAGAACTGTTGGGAAGGAGGTGAGGGGGTCAAGGCCAGGGATGTGGGGACCTGCGGGAGGCCAGCCAGATGTTCTGGCTGCACCGAGTGAGGCTGGCTGGGGACCGTAGAGTCTGCTGCTCAAGAGAGCACACCACGGTGGGGTACAGCAGATGCTTCATAGGCCCCATTCACTGGCCGTTCCAGAAGGAAGTCCCCGCGCACTGGCCGTCCGGGGCGCTCCCCGGAGCCAGGCACGCACCTAGGCAGGTGCAGGCCTCTTCCCCGCAGTGTGCCTGCGCTCCGGAAGGGCTGGTCCTGCTCCATGCCCTGTGTTGCCTGCCCCTCGCTGGTGGTTTTCTCCCGGTGACCGGAAGCCATCCTCACAGGTTTTGTTCCTGGAGGGCAACCCGCTCTTACTTCCAGTACAAGGGGAAGAAGCCCAAGGACAGAAAAATTCCTCCTAAGCCTACGTACCCGTACCCTTCTTGGAGCGGAGGTAAGCGCCCCCACGCCCCACAGCCCCGATTTGCCCCAAACGAGCTCACGAAGGGCAGCACAGCCCCGAGGACCAGCTGCCGGGCCTCAGGGCGGCTGTTCGCGGGCGGGCTGGCGTCTCAGTAACTTGGTCCTCCGAGAAGCGCTGAAGCCTATTTTGTCTGTGGCTCTCAGTGCCGGCAAAAAGGGCGCCCCCCCTCCCATGGGCCGCCCCCCAGCGTCACCTGCCAGGGTGCCTCTGCGCACGCGTGTCACAGTTTCCGCTGTGGGGACCTGCTTTACCCCCGTTTAAGAAGCCCCCACTCCAACAGGCTCCGCAAACGCCATCTGGATAGCATCTGTGTTATACTGTTAAGTGAGAAAATCAAAAAGTGGATGTAAAGTATGATTTTACTGTGGTAAATAGATATACTTGCATATAGATCTTTATGCAGATGTATAATTTTATGAAAACACAGGGAAAACACCTAGAAATAAAGAGTAGAGTGTTAATAGGATTATCTCTGGGTGATGTGATTTTGAGAGATATATTATCAACAGATGGTTAATCATGTTTTCAATTATATTGTTTACAGTCTATATTATTCACACATTTTAAGATAAGTGTGTTTGAAGTCACACATAGATATGTTTTCTTTGCACAGAGCACTTAAACCCAGTCGCTTCCCCAATACCTGCACGGAGATCAGTACTTCAGCAAAAGGGAATTTTATTATTTAAAAAATTTTTAAAGAGTTTATTTTTTATTGTATTTTTTTATAAGGGGGACAAAAGGGAGTTTTCGAGAGGAGGGCGCTCAGGACAGTGCCCGGTGAGGGCGAGGCTGGGTGTCTCAGTGGCGGAAAGTTCTAGGGACCACAGAGCACAGGTCTGTGCCCCTGGGAACAGTCCCAGCATCAGCACAAAATGCAGACATAGGACAGGAGTTTTAAATTCAGCAGCCAGCTGTCCCCGGATGGAGCTGAGTACTCGGCCGGGGCTCCTGTCCTTTCCCCGAGACGCTCACCCCTGCCAACACTCCAGCCCCCACAAACAAGTGTGCCACCCTCTTCTTTGGGCTCTGGAGGCCTAAATCCATCTCTGGGAAGCAACTCTGGCTCCAGGCTGGCTCCTACCCCTCTGACCCCTCGAGAGGTTCCTCACTTTGGTAGGAAACAAATGGCCCCCCCTCCTTGGTTGCAGCCATTCCGATGGTCCAGGAATGTGACTTCTTATCCTTGTCTCTGCCTTGTGAAATGTCACATCAGCAGGCAGAAATCAGTCACCTTTTCAGTATGTGGGCCACAGTGTCCCTGCAGGTGCAAGGGCTGGTTTATTGTGCAGGTGGGGGTTGGGAGAGAGGAGGGAAATAGTAAGAGGAAAAAGAGAGGGAGGTGGGCAGGGCAGGCAAATGACATTCACTCTGGGGAACAAGAAAACGCCCCCAGCGGTAGCCAAAGAGCCCCCAGCCTTTGGCTCATTTCTAATGCTCAGCTCCAGGGAAGTCAATCCCTAAATCTTCCCTGGTGTTGGAAGTGGGAAGAGGTCGGCAGGATGCCCTGACCTAAGGGGCCAGGCCGCTTGGATTCTAGGCTTGGAGAGTCATCTTCTGTGAGCTGAGGTACTTTGAGAATCTTGCTTCCCCTCTTGTGGCCTCAGACCCCTGATCTAAGATACAGATGTTTGAATTTAGAAAGTGCTGTCATTAATATCCTATGATCCCAGGACTGTTAAACAGGAGCTTTCGTGCTCACTTAGAAAAACTTCTTGTGTTGGGTGTCGCTCTAAAGGCTTTTTAATGCTCCCCCTCTTCTCTCCCCAGGAGACTACACCACGTTAAGATTCTCCCTGCTCAGGGGTTTTGAATGGTTGCGGGCTCAGCAGCGAGATGTAGTGGCAAGTTCAGCCCAGAACTGTGAGTTGGACTTGGAATCCCACTGATACCGAAAGTCCACTACTCAGTGAGAGGGGGGCCCTAAGGCCAGCTTGGCCAAGCTCCTTCTCGGCCAGGAGGAGACTGAAGTCCCCCAAACGCAAAGTGACTTGCTCAGGATCACACGGCTTGAGAGTGGCAGGGGTGGGGTGAGAAGCGGGTCTCCTGACTGTCTTCCCAGGGCCCTTGTTAGAATAACAGTATCTTCTGGAGTCTTTTATAGCTCCTTGAAGGTGGGTAGCTTAAGCGTCTCAATATTACTGCAGGCTCGTCTGCCCATTCCCAGGCATGGCGTGTCATCTCTATCAAGAGACAGCCCTGACATCCCAGTTGTGACTTTCCCCTCCCCCTGAGAGCACCTGCTGCTTCATCTCATACCTCCTGCTTCCCGGAGGCTCCTGCTACAGGTCGTCTTGTCCCCGTAATAAACACCCTGGTCCTAGCCTCCCGTCGGGGGACCATGTTATATCCTTTTTCCTCTGCACCTTCAGCCACCAGAAGCCAATCCCACTCTGAAACACCAAAGCTGCCTTGGTTCCCGCATGGTCTCTCCCAGCGAACCTTTCTGTCCATTGTCAGTTCCTATTTCCACGTTGGAGATTCTGCTTCCCTGCGATGCCAGCTCGCCCGGCCTTCCCCTCTGCATACGTCCCCTCACCACCCAGCGGGGGGGCCGTTAGGGAACACTGCCCATGATCCATAGGGTGCACACAGCCCTACAGTCAGGTGTTTCTAGTGCTCTTCTGGCCTCCTCTCCTTCTTTGACTTCCCTGGGTCCATGGGGTTGGCATCATGACCTGAAACGTCTCCCAGGGCAACAAAATATCGCAGCCCCCGGCCCAGGTCTCCTGACTGTCCCCACAGCAGTGCTGCTGCCCCTTCCCTTTCCCAGCTCCTCCTCTGGCAGCTGTCCCGGGATGGTCTCCCCGGCCGGAGGGCCTCCAGGGAGGGTCTGTGCCCTGCGTTCTGATGCCGTTTTTTTTCTCTGGGTTTGTCTTCAGCTTCATCGAGCAACCTGACCCAGCCAGGACCTGCCCTCTCCATATTGCAGCTGTGTCCTGTCCCAGGGTAGGCACGCGCCGGAAGTCCTCTTCTCCAGGGCTGAGCTCCTTTGTCCAAGTGCACAATGAGAGATGGGGGAGAGCCTTCCCTGAGACCTAGCTCCACCCCCTGACACTCCTTGGCATAAAGAACCAAGAGGCTGAGCTTGCTGCTTCCAGAGAGGCCTCCGGGCATCCTCACCCACCTCCTTAGGACAGGCACTTTGGGAAGTTGAAGCCCCTGACCCACCTTCCAGTTGAACACCATTGCTGGAGGGGGAGTGTCCCAGGTGGTCTTTATTTCCAGCTTCCCCAGTGTTCCACCCTCCAGGGTAAGGTGCCTAAGATGGGAAAGAAAGAGGAGCTGATTTTCTGCTTGGTAGGATATTGGCCATACAAACAGAAAGCATTTGAGCCTGTCAAAATCTGATTCAGCTTCACTTCTGTAAAAGCATTGGAGTGGGATTGATGCTAAGTTATGCCTCTGGGAGAATCCCCAGGGGCTCATAGAAGCAGTGCCAAAGAGCTGCTTGAAGGTCAAGGTTACAGAAGCAGGCTCTATGAATGGCGGGCCTTGTTTCCTCACCAGCTCTCCCAGCTTCTCAGACCTGCTGCAAGTTCAACAGGGGCTTGGAGCTTCCTGGGTATCAATGGCCAGTGCTGGGGCCTGGGAGACAAGCCAGGGCCTTTGGAGCTCTTTATTCAGACAGGCAATGCATATCTTCAGAGGTTATAGGCTCGTGGGGAGGAAAGTGAGAGTAATAGGAGGGGCCCTATCCTGAAGGCTAAGGGTTTTGGTTTAAGCTGTTGCCATTCCTAAAGGGAATGACAGCCACAAACTAGCAGAGAATACACCTTATCACCATTGGGCTAACCGGCCATTCTTCTCTCTTCCTTCAGACAAAAATTATCCAGCACCAAAAAGGAGAAGAAATAATCTAGTCAGGCCCTCAGCAGAGGCACATGGTCTCTCAGAAGCCTCCTGACACTGACAGAACCTTTTCTGGTCAAAAATGCAATGCCCTGGCACCAGCTGCCCTGGAAAGATCACTCGGGTGACCGCCCGGGCGTGACAGGACTGGACTGCAGAGGGTAAGATGTGGGCAGAGAACAGGAGCAGGAGCACCTGCGCCCTTGCCGACCCTGGGGGTCCTGGCAGGTGGTCTTTCCACAGTGGACGTAGAGCAGAACCCCACTCTTGCGGTCAGGAGACCGACTGTTGGTCTCGCTCTGCCGCAGCGTAGCCTTGACAGCCCGGGACTCCGGGGTGGCGAGGAATCCCGAGACAGATGTGTGGACATAGCATCAAACATCCTAGGAAGCAAAGTGCTGTTTTTATTAGAGTGACAGATGGGGTCTTTTAATGCTAGCATCTCCCATTGGGACAGTGATTCCCATCCATTATCTCAGTGAATCCTCAGAACCCCACGAGGAACCATGCCAGCGGTCCTGAGTGTCTATACAGCTGAAGAAACTGACACACACAGGAGGGAAGTGATTTTCCCAAGATCACTGGGCGGTAGATACAGAGTCTGGACTAGAACACCCACTTCTGATTCTTTGGCTGCTTCTCATTCCGTGGTCACTGTCTATGCAACTTTTCACACACAAAGAAATCATTCTTCCCTGGAGTTCTGTTGGTTTGCCAATTAACAGATAAAGAGACTCTGGAAAAATTCTGACCTGGAGGACTAGCTTATTATCAATGTTTAGAGTGACCAAGCCCATTTTGCTATGCTTTGAGGAAAATCAGTAGAAAAACAATAGTCAGAATGTCATCAATGAGCTCACTACTGGAGCTGACTGAGGGGTGGTCAGCGCATTGATGGCACCAATTGCAAGACGAGGAAAGGCTGAGAGCTTGTCAGGGAACCTTTCACACTTCTGGCCAACGTTCCCTGCTCTGCCGAGGTCCTTTATTTCCTAGGCTTTTCTCAAGGATGAAGAGTGTTGTGATGTCAGGACAGGGCTCACAGACAGAGACTGAGATCACCTGCGTGTGGCTGTGGTCGTGACAGGTCAGGAAGACCATGGGAGACACGGCTGGAGGCTGCATGATACTTAGTGGGACCACCCTGAATAGAAACAAGTTCACTCTTTAGTCTGCTGTCTTGCTGATTGCTTCCGCTGGTTTCTTATACCATCTCACCTCTGCGATCCCAGGTCTAACATCTTCTGACATGAGATTCAGACTCAGGTCTCAGCCATATAAAAGGCAGACAGATAATATAAACAAGAAAAGCAATACATACGAGAGAACAGAGTGGTAGAGAGTGCGGTGAACTGGAGAACACATCTCAGAGGGGACAGCAACAAATTACGTAGGGGAAAAAAGAAAGAAAAGGAAAGAAAGGAGGGAAGGAGGAGAAGATGGAAGGAAAAAGAAAGAAGGATGGGAAGTTAAAAATGTTTGTAATACTATGCAGATAAAACAAAACTGGCAATCTTTGCTTTAAGCTTTTTCTTTCCCCTTGAAATTATATCTGGGTCCTGGGTCTGCCGTAGACAGAAAATATGGGAGAGGAAGAAGAGAAACCTCAACAACAGGCCCATAGGGGCCACAGACATCTAAAGAAAAGGCCATGGAAACGGGGAAGGAAGCTGGCCCAATCTGGGTCCTCTGTTCGTTTTCAGTTGGTGCCATAAACAATGACCAGCATCTCAGTGACTTAAAACAACACAGAAGGACTACCTTGCGGTGCTGTAGGTCAGCAGTCTGACCTGGGACGCACGGGGCTGATGCTGGCAGGATTACACTCCTTTCAGGAGGCTCTCGGGGCGGGTCCATTTCCTGGCTCGCTCAGGTTGTTGGCAGAATTCAGTCTTCCAGTTACAGCGCTGAGGTCTGGTTTCCTTACTGGCCATCAGCTTTCTTTGCCTGACTGGAAAACGCCTCAACTCCTTAGTGGCATATACAAAACCACTGACAATTGGACCTCAGCCTAGGTTTCCAGGTTTGTCTCTTGCCTCTCCCACTCATGCATTCCATCCTCCAGCAACAGGACCATCTAAAATGCCCTACCCTTTGTTCTTCACCTGGTGACAAGAGACATCACAGCGGTGACACCTCCTGGTTATCTCCTCTCACCTCTCACCAACTCCTCTTTGTCTCCGCGACCTACTTTTTTCCCTCTTTGGAGACACCTGTTTGTGTATGTGCATCACTTAACTAGACTCTATACTTCGGTAGGGCAGAGAGCACATCCTAGTTTTCTTTGTACCTCCAACACGGACCACAGTGCCATGCAGGTGAGAGTTGCCCCATCAATACGCAGTGATGACTTGAGTAAGTGAACTGTGCTAGGTGCTGGGGATGTAGTGGAGGAAACAGAATTTTGCAGTTTATGTCTGTTAGTTACGCTGACTTCACAGTTTCGTTTGCCAGGAAATCAAATCAGTAATCAATTACAGTTGTTGCTAGCACACTAAGAAATATGAAAGCGTCCTTACGAAATTTTTTTTGTTTGTTCCAGTCTTCCTTGGTGCTTCAAGAGCATTCTGGTCTTTTTATTTTTTTTTTCCTTCTTTTCTTTTCCTTTTTTTTTTTTTTTAGGAAGCTCATACAACCCATTCAGACTGAAGAGTGACAGAAGGAGGCAGAGGAAAACAAAACAAGAAAGACTGAGCGAGACGCGCCTTCCACCTTCAGGAGCCTTTTCAGTTACGTGTGACAGGGAATGACATCTTTCCTCTTCCTACAGAAGTACGAAAAGACATCTGTCTTTCATACTGAGTGCCTCCAACCGATACAAGTGTCACCACACAGAAGGGCAGCTCATGTGCAGCACCTTGGGGTGCCTGTCCCCACCCTCACACCTCAGCCAGGGCTGCAGATCGTTAACCAGAATAAATGATGTCCACATTCACAGTCTGTACGCCTCCCATCCTCTTCTTAAAGATAAGGGCACAAGAAACAGTATGTTGCTCCCAAGAGGAGTTCAAAAGTCATTTCCCACTCAAGAGATTATTGGAAATATTACTTCCCACCCTGGATCAAGACCAAGGGCCAGACCTGGCCTGGTGGCTCGGTTGGTTGGAACATCATCCTCTACACCAAAAGGTTTGATATTTGTCTTTCACCGCCTGGCTTAGTTCACTTAGCATAATAATCTCCAGTTCTATCCATGCTGTCACAAAGGGTAGGAGTTCTTTCTTTCTTTCGAATCTCACATATTTCAAGTACCATCTACAATTTTTTATGTATAAAAGGAAGAAGTTATATGCTTAAAGTAGCTCCTTGGAGTGTTATTCATATTACTAAGAGGAAGCAAACTAAAAATAAGCCAAAAGGAAATGTTTAAACAATCTTTGACATCTTAATTTGATAGAGCATTATACAGTCATTTAAAATAATTGCAATAAATCAGTATGATATTATGTTTTTAATATAATAAGTTTAAAAAGCACCATCAGAATGAAATAAAACCCTAGGTTGTCAATTAGGCAAAACTCCTGTGCATGTCCACAAAGTCTGAGATAGAATATGGACATTTTAAGGTTTATCATCATAATGAGAGTATGGCTGTTTTTGATTTCTGATAGTTCTATAGTATTATTTGTCAAATAATATAAATTAGATATTTTTTAACAAGACACTACTAATTAATCATCTTATAATAAATTTTATTACTCTTATTTAAAAGTTGGTTTATGTCTTAAAGTTCCAGTTTACTTTGATTCTGGTTATTTTCAACCCACCTTATTTATTTTTCAAAAAATGAACACCCTACCGGTTTTGTTTTGCTTTTACTTCTCATCCAGTAACATACAAGAATCCTAGCTGCAGTGCGGGAAGACCCTGGCCTTGCCCCTGGCTGGGTAGCAATGGGCAGCTCAGTGAACGTGCCTGAGCCGGCGTTGCACCTGTGAATGGGCATTAAACGCCTGACTTGACCTCGGGCAGGGGCGGGATGGGTGCTGTTCTTACCTTGGGGCTGGTACAGCTTCACTGTGCGAGACCACGATTTAGTTCCTCGCCTCGTGTCACGAGTGGAAAAGCAAATTGAGGGCAGTTTCAGGACAGTGGCAAATAAACTACCCTCTGGGGGCTCGTATCTACCATACATGCCAACATAAAGAACACCGTCAGTCTTGTTTTTGGGGGAGGGGAGTCTTCACAAATTCCCCACTCCTCAGTCCTGTCTGTTGCTCTAAAGGGCCTCAGGGAAATGCCAGTCAGCCAAGAAGGCCTGGGCTGGGATTCCGGAGGTAGGGAAGGAAGCCGCTCTCGAAGCCGCTGGCCTGCCCACCAGGACCTTCTGAGCGCTACATCAGCAACGAGGGGGAGGAAGGTGTGCACGGATCGGGTGGTGGGAAGGTGGCTTCCAGTCCCGAGCGGAAGTGGGCAGTGTGCTTCGCTGAGGGGAAAAAAACAAAAACAAAAACAAAAACCTGACCAAAAAAAAGAACAAAAAACCCCAGATGCCCTCTGCTGGCGACTTCGGAGCCCTGCAGTGCAGCTCTCAGGGGGCAGTGTGGGGAGGCCACACCCCCGCCCCCCCGCCCCCCCGCCCCGCCCCCGTGGGATTGCTAGGTGTTTTGCACCCGAATTCGAGCTTTCTACTACAGGCCTTTGTAATTCTAAATGGGGTCAGTACCCTGAAGTTAATAAAGATCTACATAACAATTGAAGGAGGAAGCTAGCTTGACAGGAGGCTGATGAGAGACTGGAAGTGTTCTGTGGGCTGGAAAGCACTGTGCGAAAATGATTCTTAGCCAGCTGATCCCAGTCGATAGAAATGACTGACCTATTCATATTCGTTACCAATCAGAAAACCGAAGCTGAGGTTTAAACCTAACACAGTCTTGCCATTCCTAAAACTTTAAGTAAAAGCAATTCTTAATTTCATTCGGTGACACCCACTTGAGACCCTGTCCTCTGTAGGAAGTATCTCAGATACTGTTTTATCCAGCGCCGTCCATTACAAAGCCCCACTCTTACCTCCACACTGAGGATAAGTGCAAAGAACATCAGACTTACTGCCAGAAAATCTGATCAAATCAACACAGTGGCACTTTCCATCTGTGCATTAGAGTAAGTCAACTCATCCCTAACCTTAGTTTCCTCATCTGAAATGAGGGTAACAACTCCGGCTTTACAGGATTGTTTGGAAAACTGAGAGATAAAATATGCAGGTATAATTTATAAATTATAAGTCACCATAAAAATATACGGTAGAGTCATTATACATGAAGATGGTTCATTCATTTTGTTTAAGATTGATTGATTGATGTTTAGAGAGAGAGGGTAAGGGAGAGAAAGAGAGAAACATCAGTGTGTGGTTGAATCTCATATGCCCCGTACTGGGGACCTGGCCCACAACCCAGGGATGTGCCCTGAATGGGAATTGAACCGGTGACCCTTTGGATTGCAGGTCAGCACTCAATCCACTGAACCACACCAGCTAGGGCTGGTTCATTCATTTTTTAATGAATACTGACTGAACATCACCTTGTGGCAGACACTTTCCTAGGCAGTAATGATACAGATTTTAAAAAAATATAGAAAAATATAGAAAATATAGAAAAAAATATATACACACACATAAAGGGTGAGGCAAAAGTAGGTCTTCAGTTCATATGGCAAATAATACAATAATTACTGAACAATAACACAAAAATAGATTCTGTGTTTTGCATAACCACAACCATATGCCTATTTTTGCCCCAGCCTGTATATATCACTGGCCCTAAGGAGCTTAGATTCCAGTGGGAGAGTAACATGCTCAGGGTGGAGAAAAGCAAGCTCTGATGTGGCTCTGGGTGCCAAGGAGTCTGATAGAACACAGGGTGTGGAAAGTCAGGGTGTTCACAGGACTTCTGAGGGGGTGACACTGGAATCAGCTCACTACAGACCGAGAAACAAAAAAACAAATCCAATTCCTCCGTGAGATGGCCCACACACTCCATGGTCCTGGGCCCCACGCTAGTTTGAAAGTATTACAGTTCTTTAAGGCAGAGTTTCTCAACCTCGATACCACTGATATTTTAGGCTGGATAAGTCCTTGTTGTGGGGGCCTAGCCTGTGCATTGCAGAATGTTTGGCAGTATCCCTGAACTCTATATACTAAGTGCCAATAACCCCCACCCCATCCTCCAGCTTTGACAACCAAAAATGTCTAGACACTGCCAAATGGCCCCTGAGAGGCAAAACTGCCCCCAGTTTAGTGCTACTGCCTTAAGTTCGTAGAAAACCAATGCAGGTCATTCTAGAAGGAATGAAATTCATCAAAAAAATTAGTGCCTCGACTTGTGCTCAATAAAGAATGAATGAATGAATGAATGAATGAATGAGTGAAGAAGCCACCAGGAGCCCCTTTGACATATTCTTTTTAGGCTTCATCCAGATGATCCCTGGACTAGTAATTAAGTTCTCAGATGCTTCAGTGAGAGGTAACAACACCACATCCATTTATACAGTGCTCTGTGCAAGTCGTATGGTCTGAGACGAGTAGTTTAAACTTGAGTCTCAAGTTCATCAGTTCTTAAATGGGGATAGTCACCCATGTTGCAGGATCATTGGGATAATTACATGAGATAATTAATGTAAAAATATCCAGTATTAGAGGTCTAGGCACTCACTCCTTCAGTGCAATAGACAAAAGGAATTTCAGCAGGACGCCCTTCCAGCTCCTGCCTCTAACCTTTTCCCAGAAAAGCACCAGTGGAATTTGAGCATATGCTTTCTTTTAATTATAAATATGTAGGAAATGCCAGGCATGTTGCCAGAAACTGACATCAGCCATCCAACTAATCCATCCCTCATAAGCAACCAGGTTAGGAAGCCCAGGGGGTTGTGACTTGCGCAGGATCACACAGCAGATAAGGACCCCGCTGAACTCAGAAGGCTCAGACAGCACTCAGAGCTGGCTAGCCTGCTGGCCCCCATCACAAGTCTCATGTGTTGTGCAAGTTTTGGGAAAATGCTTCTTGTACTCTGTGTCCCGGAGTGTCACGTAGATGTAGATGATCAGGTCGGGGAAGTTCTTCTGAAAATACTGGGACGGGTCTTGAATTGCCAACTTCATGCTGAAATGAAATGTAAATATTTTGGCATGCATGCCCCAAATTCTTCCCCCCTTTCTAGCACACGGTCTGGAGATCACCGTGCCCCCTTGGCTTCTATGGCAGAATAAGTAAGGGTCTGGGAATCTGACAGAGCAAGAGTCGTCTCCTGGCTCTTCAATTAATGGTGCGAACTTTGGCAACGTGATCATTGTGACCCTCAGTTTTATCATCCATCCCTAAAACGGACATCACTACAATTCCACAGTCCCTTATCTACATTTCCAAAAATCAAAAAGAGCCCTAGAAACTGCAAGGTTTGTTTGTTTTTTCAATGAGTTTGAGCTAACATTTTTGGCAGCAAAAGCTAATTTAACTAACATGGGACAACTGTGTAGACTTTTATAAGGTTGCATTCATTTTACTCAGCTGTCCCGCCCCTGTGTTTCTTCACACAAGGGAGTCACTAGCCTTCTGTTCAAAGGGACCCAGCAAAAGTTGAAAAGAAATATGAGCGCCTGCTGGCTACGTCCACCGTTCACTGCAAGACCCTCATAACGGCCCTTTTCCAGGCAGAGGGGAGGAGTTACTTTTCCTTTATCAAAATTAATTTTGTTCTTCCCATCAAATAGCAGATATAAACTTAGAACTGAATTTTTAAATCTTCCTCATGACATATGACTTACAAGAATGAAAACAATACTTACCCTTTATTCTTTTCTTCATGGATGTGTTCCCCCAAATTCCGGATAAACCTTAGCAGATCACCTACAGTGTTCTTGTAACATAGGTGGATTTTGTTTTGTTTTTTATAAAATGAATTCATTTCTTCCATGACATATTTATTAATCTAAACAAGAAAATATTACACACAAAAAAATGTGGTAGCAATGCAAAACAAATCCTGGTGGAATACAAAAGGGAGAAATGCAAATTTGACTGTGTCAAAATTACCTCTCATTTAAAAAGTAATGCTAACCGTAGTGGTGTTTGGATGTGGTACTAACGGTAACTATGAATTTGTCTGTTTTCCAAGTGAATTGTTTTCATAAGGAATTAAATACATCAGCCCGGGCTGGTGGGGCCCAGTGGATTGAGCGCGGGCCTGCGAACCAAAGGGTCACCAGCAGTTTGATTCCCTGTCAGGGCACAGGCCTGGGTTGCGGGCCAGGTCCCCAGTACGGGGTATGCAAGAGGCACCCACACATTGACTTTTCTCTCCTTCCCGTCCCCTCTCTACAAATAAATAAAATCTTTAAAAAAAATTAAATATATTAAAACATGGTTTAGAAAATCTTTGGCCACTATACGAGGAAATGTGCTCATTATACTGCACCGTCTTTTCATCCTTGCAGCCCCCCTTCCAAACTTATACTTGATTCCATGTCCCCAGGTTGACACCAGCACTAGCAGCCACTGCCAAAGCGATTGTGGTTGGCTTCTGTTTTCTTTTTTTGAAATTATATTTCCAAAGGGGTTGCAGGTCTCTCCTTGCCTCTAGGTGCCCCAGGGCGACTGCTGTCACATGAATGCCTTCCTCTTTGTGCCGGCAGCTTTATAGATGGCTCCATATTTAGCAAGAGTTTGGAGAGGGGAACGAGATGTAACAACCACGAAGCCATAGGTCCCTTAGGGGGAGTGACCGGTGACTGGACCAAGACTAGAGGAGATCTGCTGAGACTGTCACACGTTCTGCATGCGGAGCACATGGGGCAAATGCCGAGCAGCCTGTATGTGGCGGGTGGGGCAGCCCAGTGAAGGGAGGCAGGAATATACACTGGAAAACAAAACGGGCTGGACCACTGTTTTGAAAATGGGCAAGCCACCAAAATCAACAGAAAAAATTCTAAAATGGGAATTTAAAAAGACAAGTCTCGAAGTTCATCAAAATTCAACATAAGTTGATGCAGTGTAGGGGGAATAATCTATGAATCAGGGAATAAAGGAACAGGTTTCTCTTCCCAGCTCTACTAATCTCCAGCTTTCCAGTCCCAGGTATTTTGGGTTGCCCCTCTGAGCCTCAGCTTCCTCAGCAGTTAGTGACTTGGTGGACACAATGGCATCATAGTCTGATGCCGTGAGCAGCTTTAGCGTGGGCGCAGCAGCCAGGCTACCCAGCCTCAAATCCTGCTGTGCCCCTTCCTGGCTCTGTGCCTTTGGGAAAATGGGTCTTTGCCCACCCACAGGATGGAGATATTTGCCTCAGAGGTTGTTTTAAGGATGAACTGTGGTAACTCACATAAAGTCCTCAGAACTATAGGACTTGCACTACTATCATCTGCTCTTGTTTCAAATTTCTCTGTTTCTACAAGTTTAAGTTCCAGCTGAAGTTTTATAGACATTCATGTGAAAAAGAGTCATGGCGCACCTAGCCCATGTCAGGAGTAGGACAACGGGTGGTCTCTGCCTCATGGAATTTACAGGCTCGCAGGAAAGATGAACACTAAGCCAGCAATTATGAGTGCGACATGTAGTCTAGAGTCAAGTAAGGGAAGGAAAGCAAAATGAGACCCAACAGCAAAGTAAGTGAGAAACACAGTCCTAGATTGTCCTAGATTGGCTGTTGGTCTCCATCAAAGACTTCAGGATTATGGATTCTCCCATAGTATCTTGCGCCTGTCTCTGGGCACCCAGCATGTGTCACACAGCCATTGTTTCCGGGTGTCTTCTAGCCCCACGCAGACCACGTCGTACTCTTTGTAGACTATCGTGACCTCCCACGGGCCTAGCACATACCTGGTACTTGAGAGATGGATGCTAATGAATACTAATGAAACTTCTGGACTAGATCAAGATGTGGATTAATTTGGATGTTCCACTATATGTAGTTCAAGTTAGGTGGACCTTTCCTTGAAAAGGAGGAATTGGAAAGGCCATCTCTTCTCCACACTCTGCTGTTGGGTCGAATGCAGGTGCGCTATGTGGACCCTGAGAGCCAAGCCGTTCCTGGGCAGCAGAGGCCCCGGACTGAAAGGCGTTGCGGTGGAACACTTCCTCTGGGTTAAGTCTTATTTAATCCGCTGCCCTTGTTACCATGGTAATAGAATCATTAGCCAGGCCCTTCTCAGAGAATAAGTCTTAAGGGGAAGAGCCACAGAAAGGGAAAAGGCTTGTGGGCTGGGACAAGGCTATCACCCTAAAGAGGAGTATAGATGCAAGTCTATCAGGAAGGCTTGACCCCTAAGAGGGAGGGCAGAGACCCAAAAGGGAAGAGGGGAGTAGGCTGGGGAGGAAGAGAAGGGAAATTCCCTCTTTCATCTGCTGGTTGGGCCTGACCAAGAGTATGAAAGAAAAGGTTAGAAAAGTTATCATAAAACATTAACTGGCTTCTTAGTTCTGAAGTAACTCTCAGACCTTAGGAACTGTCCATACCTTAGAGGTCCATTGGTGAAAACTTTTGGAGCGATCTTCTGCAGGACTCTGTAGTAGGCAGAGCCTGCTGTTTAGTTTTTGTTTTCGAGTTTTGATGTCGGATTCATTTCCCAGGTCCCTAAGCGTCCTGTAGCGGCTGAGGATGACAGGATTATTATGGTCATTCCATCTCTTCCATTCTTTCCCAAAAAAGAAAACTGTTAGATTTTGGGTTTTAATAAAAGTAGTAAAACTACGTCTTTAAAATTTCTGCATGGTGGGTGGAGACAGGCATCTCTCTCTCTCTCTCTCTCTGCTTTGAAAGAGAGAACCAGAACTCAGACAGGTTAAGTCACTCCTCCAAGGACACCCAGCTGGGAAATGCCCAGCTAAGAGGAAAGTTGAGCCTGCAGATTCTCAGCCTGACTCCTGCCCACACCACCTCACTGCGATGATTAATTTGCATGTTAACTTGACCGACAGCGGGCAGGGCGCCCATATTTAACACTCTGGCTGTGTCTGTGAGGGTGTTTCCAGGTGAGACTGGCATCTGAATCAGTGGGCTCAGTAAAGCAGACCGCCCTCTCCAGTGTTACAGATGTATTTCCTGTTGGTTCTGTCCCTCTAGAGAACCCTCACTAATACACTCACTGTCACCATTCTGGGGCCCTGTGATGTACACTTAAGTTTCACTTACCTCTCCCAACTCCAAAAGAAAGGATGACCCAGCAAGTCCTTTAGATGGCTCTCCACATTCTCCCCAGGGCAGAAGAGCTCCCCAATGAGGTTCTGAATTTCTTCATTTGGAGAATGTAGAATCACCTCTTCATTACTTTGCGTCTTCAGGGTTTCAAAAGAGATGTCTCCCCTCGTTACCACATATAGGACCAGCCGCCCAAGGGCCTGCAGAAAAGCCGCCAATCAAGCCAAAGGTGCTTATGAATTACCACTCTATTTGGGTAACCTTGTAGTGTGTGTGCAGGATCGGGGCACGTGGAAAATGGGAGGAATCCGAGGAGACCTCAGGCTGGTTAGGGAGAGAAGACACAGGTTTGTGCATAGAGAACTCGCCAAGGTGGTATATAGTCCTCACAGTTCAAGCTTATAAGGGGCAAAAGATATTCCTGGGCCAGAGTTGGCAGGGCAAACTGCCTAGAGGAAGAAGGATTTGAGCTGGACCTCAAAGTATGGATAGAAGTTAGATAACCAGGGGAAAGCGAGAAGGTCTTAAATAAGGGGAATGTCAGGAGCTGGGAACTGGGACTTTGGGTTGGGGCTATGTCAGGCAGCAGGTAAAGGAGCCAGTCCAAGACAAATAGGACCCAATGATGGCCCCAGGGCTTAGGCCACGGCAGGAAGGAAAGGCCGAGAAGGGGTCTGGTGTATGAGTGCCTGCATTGGGCAAGAGATCTGGAGCCACTGAGCCATCAAGACCAGACCCAGGGATGGGGAGTTCTTCACCACTGGGTTGACGTCTGCCCTGACCGGGTCAGGGTCAATGGGGAGCTTTGGTCCACAGAGGCCAGGCCCTGTCTCTTCTCAGGGGAACCAGTTATTGCAGAGGCTCCAGTTTTTTGACCAAGCTTAGGCCCTTTTGAGCTGGGGATCCCTCCCTGGAGTTTCAGAGGGCCTTTGTATCTGGCCCTCTTTGGAGTTTGAAAGGAACTGGAAAAGAAGCCCTATTTACTTTGTCCTTAGGCAGAAAATACCTCCTGCAGGAATTTTGGAAATGTTTTGGGGGTACCTCCTGGAGGTGATTTGAGAAAGGGTATGGAATGCTCTATTTGCCTGTGTAACTAGTGGAGAAAGAAAAGAGATCCAAAGAGACACAGAAAGAAGCCACAGCGACAACCAGCCCACACCAACCCAGGGAAATGCCCTTGTCTGCAAGGGAATGGCAGCAGCAAGCACTGAGAGAATGCTTCGAAGTTGTTCCTTCCTGGTTCAAATAGGAACGCCCTCTAGTTGGCCATAGGAAATAAGGTAATGAATGAATAAGGAAGCAGGAAGATAGAAAAGACTACAGAAATTACCTCCAGATCACTCTTGATTTTCTCTGGCTCCCCAGCCCACTTGCTGCTTTTATCAAAATCTGCCACACGAACAGAATTCTTGGAATCTAAGGGATAGTTTGTGGAGATGCACTGAGAATCTTCACTCTTCATGTTGTAATTCATTTAAATAAATATGTGACACGATATGCAATCCATCATTTCTAAAAAAGGCAATCATAAAGCTTATATCTGCATTGCTATTTACTCCTCCAAACATTTTCGTGCACTGTGTCATCTGACCTATCCAGTATCTGCCCATATATTTTATTTCTTTCCAAGCTGGGGGTAGGGGTAAAGAGCACAGATTTGTAAAGGACCTGTCTACAGAGTTAAGGTGAAATCTTGTGGCTAAAGAGCAACTAGCCAACAAGGCTCCAAAGCCAAGACTGCCTTGAGCGTAAGGCCCCATTCCCTCGAGACTGCCAGTCACAGCCCACGAGGACGCTGTCATCAGTTATAGATCCGCCCTGTGCTTGTAATGAGTCGTTGCCCCTTTGCCCTCTTCAGAATCTTTCTTCCTTGGAGGAAGCCACTGAGTCCTCAGCAAGAGGGAGGCATGGATGAGGGTGGACAGGAGCCAGGTGACAGGAGGGCGAGGCAAGTGATTTGTCCTCAAAGAGGTGGCTCCTGCTCCTTGCTTGATGGAGTCTGAGGAGGAGGACGGCCAGAGCAATTGTGTGCTTCTCGAACCCCTTTTATTCTGAATTTAGATATCAGCGTGTATGGAAACCCAGAGTCAAATAAAAATGAAAGCATCCAATTATTTAACGAGTGTTTCGTGAAGGGGAAAGGACGGTGGAGAAGAGAAACGCAGTCCCGGCCCTGGAGCGTTCAGCGTCTCTGAGTGAGGAGACCGATACTAAACAAATAATTCCACAGGTAAACATAAAATTAATTGCAACTTTGAAAATGCTAGCCAAAAGTGCAGGGTGCTCTGAAGGTGTATTCCTAGAAAAGCCACATGGCCGCGGCGGGGGGTGTGCTCTTTAAGGAAGAGAACCTTAGAAGAGATGAGTAGAGTCTGGGTAGGTAAGCAGCATGGAGAAGAGAGGGAAGAGAAAATTCCAGATCGGAATTCTTGACACAGCAAGGAGCCTGGAGAACTCCACTGGGACAGAAAGAAGGCCCAAGTGCCCGGAGAGGAGGGATGAAGCCAGAAAGTGGCCTGTGCCGAGGCTGAGGGGCCAATGGGGTGTAGATCGTTAACGTCAGATTGTTTTCAGTTATTTGAACTGATAAATTCCCTTCACTTGTTTAAACCGCTTGAAGTGGAGTTTTCTGGCACTAAAGTGGAACACTTCACAACTCTTTCAACACTCATTTTCTGTACTTATTTAATTACAGGCTGTTAACAAACTGTTGATGGGCAGAGTTGGGTTAAAATTCACTGTGCCCCTCCCCCATCCCCTGCTGCCAATGACACAAGAACCTGAGCCTCTTTTCTTTGGCCCTGCTCTTGTCCTCTCCACAGTGAGGACCTAAGATCACCTAAGATTAATATTTTTTAATTTTCTACTTTTAAGGAAACAACCCATGTTTAGGTTACTTTAAAAATGAATTATTTCTTTGCTCATTCTTGCTCCTTAGATGTCATTGTTTCCTCCCAGATTTTCTCTCCTTCTTTATGCATTTCCTCCAGCAGTTCTCTTATATAGGGCCTGTGGTTAGAAAGATTTACTGAATCCTGAATGCTTACAAATGTATTTTGAATCACAGTGAACTGGAATAATTTGGCTACTATCTTAGTCAGTTCTGGCTATAACAAAATACCAAAGACTGGATGGCTCTAACAACAGAAATTTATTTCTTACAGTTATGGATGTTGAGCATCCAAGATCAGGGTGTTGGCAAGGTTGGGTTCTTGATGAGGACTCTCTTCCTGGTTTACAGATAACCGCCTTCTTGCTGTGTTCTCACATCGTGGAAAGACAGCTAGCTAGCTCTAAGACCCCTTTGTATAAGGACACTAATCCCACCAAAGCAATCTGAGAAAGAAGAGTAAAACTGGAGGCATCATACTTCCTGATTTCAAACTATATTACAAAGCCATAATAATCAAAGCAGTATGGTACCATCATAAAACCAGACACATAGGTCAATGCAACAGAATTGAGAGCCCAGAAATAAACCCACATATATACAGTTAAAGAATATTTGACAAGACAGCCAAAAACACTCAGTGAGGAAAAGATAATCTCTCCAAAAATTAAGGTTGGGAAAACTGGATAGTCACATGCAAAAGAATAACACTAAACTCTACTGGCAAAAATTAACTCAAAATGGATTAAATTTAAGACCTAAAACCATAAAATTTCTAAAAGAAAACATGCAAGAAAAACTCCCTGACATTGGTCTTGGCAGTGATATTTTTAGATATAACATCCAAAGCACAAGCAACAAACAAAAGCAAAAAATAAACAAGTGGTTCTACAGCAAACTAAAAAGCTTCTGCATAACAAAATAAACAATAAAAATGAAAAGGCAACCTACCAAATGGAAAAATAACATTTGCAAATCATATATCTGATATAGTTAATATCCAATTATATAGGAAATTCATACAACTCAATCGCAAGACAAACACAAATACACTAATTTGGAAAAGAGGCAAAGAACATGAATAGCCATTTTTCCAAAGAATACAGAAAAATGGCCAACAGGTACATAAAAGATGCCTCAACATTACCAATCATCAGGAAAAGAAAAATCAAAATCACAATGAGGTATCACCTCACACCTGTTAGAGGAGTTATTATTTTTAAAAAATGAGATAAGTATTGGTAAGAGTGTGGAGAAAAGGAAACCCTCATGCATTGTTGGTGGAAATATAAATTGGTAGCCAGTATGGAGAAACAGTATGGAGATTCCTCAAAATATTAAAAATAGAAATACCACATGATCTAGCAATCCCACTTCTGGATCTCCATCTGAAGGAAATGAAATCACTATCTTGAAATGATAGCTGCACCCCCAGGTTCATTGTAGCATTATTTACAATAGTCAAGACATAGAAACTTACCTGCCTATCAACAAGTGAATAGTTTAAAAAAGTGAATACGTATTATATATATAAAATGTATATAAATTTTACATATATAAAATTTAGCCATAAAAAAGGAAATCCTGCCATTTATGACAACATGGATGAACCTAGAAGGCATTATTCTAAGTGAAATAAGTCAGACAGAGAAAGACAAATACTTTATGATCTCACTTATATGTGGAATATAAAAAACACTGAACTCATAGAAACAAAGTAGATTGGTAGTTGCCAGTCATAGTGGGTGGAGAAATGGCTAAAGTTGGTCAGGGTCCAAATTTCCAGTTACAAGATGAAGAAGTTCTTGGAGATCTAATGTATAGCATGGTGACTGTAGATAACACCGTATTGTAGACTTGAATGTTGCTAAGATACCAGATCTTTAAAGTTCTCACCACACACACACACACAAAATGATAACTATGTGAGGTGATGGATGTGTTAACTAACCGTAATGATCATGTCGTATACCTTACACATAACCAACATTATATATCAATTTTATCCCAGTAATACTAGAAAAATAATTTAAAATCTTATTTCAAACTGTGAAAAAAAGACACTAATCCCATTCATGAGGGCTCCACCCTCACAGCCTAATCACCTCCCAAAGGCCCTGCTTCCTACTACCATCACGGTGGGACTAGGGTTTCAACATTTGTACAAGGTTGGAACACATTCAGTCCCTTGCAGCTGTTAATAGATTTTTTCTTGTCAGCTCTTTCTTTCTGTGTCCCGGTTGCTAATGAGAATTATAAATGTGATTTCTATGTAGGTAATTTGTTGTCTTTCAGTAGCTTTTGAGATTTTTCTTTTCTTTCTTTGAGATTTGAAACTCCTTTAAGATGTGACTAAGTGGTGTTCCCCCCATACTTACTATCCTCAGCTCTTCATGATTCTTTTCAATATTAGAACTATTACCTACCTTTAGTTCAGGGACATTCTCAGCTACTTTCTTTCAAATATTGTTTCCACCTCATTCTTTGTCTTCTCTCTTTCTGAATGCCTATTAGAGCTTCTGGACCTAACTGGTGACTCTAACACTTTCTAGTGCTTTCCATTACTTCATGCTTTTCTGTTGCACCCTAGGAGGATTTCTTAGGCATATCGAGTTTACTAATTTCATCTTCAATCCAGCCTTGAGTTTTTAAAATCTAAACAATTATATTTCTGATTTCTAAATTCTCTTTTTGCTTATCCTTGCTCCTTAGATAAAGTAACCTCCTATCTTTGTTCTCTGGTTTTATTAATTTTATTTACTTTAAAGTTGTGTTGTGGTTACTCGGTATGGCAGACTAAATAAATATCCATGACCTAATCCTGGGACCCAATTAGGTCATGGATATTTTCCTTTATATAGCAAAATATAAATTTTGTTACTTTATAGAGCAAAAAAAAAAAAGAGAGAGACTTTGCAGATATGATTAGGTGAAGAATTTTGAGGTGGGAGAGGTCATTCTGAGTTATCAGGATGAGTTCTGAATGCAGTCACATGTATCTTTATTCAAGGGAGGCGGAGGGGGATTTGATAACAGAAGAGAAGCTTACAGGACTACAGAAGCAGAGATTAGAGTGACACCTCCACAAGCCAAGGAGAGCCAGCAACCACCAGAAGATGGGAGGGAAAAGGAGCAGAGTCTCCCCTATACCTGCCAGAGGGAACTTGGCCCTGCCGACACCTGCCTTGGGGCCAGTAGGAATGCTTTCCAACTTTTGGTCTCCAGAACTGGGGGGGAATAAGTTTTGCTGTTTTAAGCCAACCAGTTTGTGATCATTTGTTGCAGCAGCCATAAGAAACTTATGCACTTGGTTAGCTATGTCTCTTTGGGTGTGAATTCTTCTGTTTCACCCATCTCTTTCATGCTATTGGCACTCAAATAATGATTTTTGACTGTAAGCCTTACCATGCCATTGAGAATCCCTGACACCCTGTGAGCTGCTTCCATTAATGCCACCCAACTGAGGGAGTGAACAGAGGCAGTGGTCGGACCTTCTGCTTTACATTTGGTTCAGTGAAACTTAGGACATGACACCTAGGGCGCTTTGGCAAAAATCTTGTGAGTTTGATCGCTCTTTCTCTTGAGATCATCAACAACCCAGTGTCCCTTGTAGTACCCTGTCTGCAGACGGACATGCCTGTCATAGATGGTCCCAGGGGAAGAGGGGGTGCACAGGGTTTGATCTGCCCAGTTTCCACTGATGCATTGATCTGTACTTTAGCTGATCCTTTGTCCCCTTCTTGCTTCTGGCTCCCATACTCTCAAGTGGTGCTGTTTTGCACTGTTCCCACTTTAATGAGTTATATTTAGCGGTGACTTCCTGCATTTGTCCTGGGCTCCTGTGATGTTCTTCAGTCCCATCCAATCCAGATTCAATCTCTCTATGACCCTTCAACAATTTTGTTCTGAATAAATTCCTTTTTAATTTGATCTTGGCTATGAGTTCATTTAAAAATATTTTTAAAAACCATTTTCAGGATTAAATACAGGAAGTAGTCTGTGGTATAGGTTAGGTTCACCTTGAGGCAGAAATATAAGCAATGCTTTATTGCCCAAGCTTAAGAATGGAAGAAGAGGGGTCTACAAATTCCAGAGAACAAGTAGCCACAAGTTATTTTTCTTTAGCCTATGATATATGGCCCTTTCACATCCAGATCAGTGGTTAGAACTAGGAAGGACCTCACCCTTGGCTGAATCTGACTCACTTATTACAGTTGTGCATACTTCTGGCCCTTGTCAGTTTCCCAGGCAACACTGTTTACAACCAGGAAGGAGTGTCACTAAAAGCCAAGTCTGTCTTGTATTCCCATGTATATCTAATTTTCTCCTCTAGGACCTTAAATACTATTTTTGCTTCTCCATATCTTAACCCACTTTTTGCCCTATTCCCTTACACTGAACTTAAATTTCAATGCATATCGGTCAGGTAGGTATCTGCTTAGCCCTCTAGACGAGGATCTGATCTTTGATCGCACCTACAATAAACAGAGGTCTTGCCTATTTAACCCACTCCACTTAGACCTCATAACAACCATATGGAGGAGATAGTGTCAGGCTCAAAAATGAGGAAACCATGGCTCACAGAATTAAGTGACTTGTCTGAGGCTAAGCCACAAAATAGCAGGCCTAAGTTACAAACTTCCTTAAAAGTGGCTAAAACCAAGGCGCTTTCTAGGGCAGCACATTGCCTTCTGGGACTTTACATTCAGCTCTGCTTGTTTCCTTTAATGTTGCTTTCATTTACTGCATTTTGCCGTGTATAATGCACACTTTCTTTTTGCCCAAATTTTTGAGGGAAAAATAAGGATGCACATAATGCATGGGTAATACTAATTCCATATCTATGTAAATATTTTTAATTCTTTTACTTATGCTTATACATTAAAAGTGTAACTCCAGAAAGCAACAATGATATCAATGTACAAAATAACACCTGGGAATATGATCATCCGTTTTGTTGAACTTAACAACGAACTTGCTACGAAAGTAGTTTCAGCCAATAAGTCAGCGAAAGACAAGGGATGCCAATTGTCATCCACTTAATAAGATAGGTGAAGCTGACTTTATTACTCCTGGGTGAGCAGCATGACATTTCTCTTCATACACGTTAGGCAGGAGGAATTATTGGAAAGCCCTTTGGAAAATGTCAGAATGGTTTGCATACACGGCAAGCTTTAAGCTGAAAGTTATTAGCTATGCTAGAAGGCACGGCAGCAGAGCTGCCGGGAGGCACTTTGGCCTCCTCCTACAGAGAGTGTCCTCAGATTGTGGAGGCAGCAGGAAGAAAAGCCTCTTCAGAGTCCAAGACAGAAGAAGGTGATGCAAGGGGAGCCTCCAAAGTGGCTGGAGGTGGAGCAGAGGGATAAGACCTGGATTCCTGAGCAGCGTCAACCTGGGATCTCTATTTCGACCAAGATGATACAAGAAGGTACTGTAAAGGGATTGCGTGAGGAAAAAACATCGACGATTTCTCAGGGCCACCTAAATGGTGCTTCGACTTTATGAAGAGAAGAGGTTTAGGCATGAGGACACACTTGAAACCTGCCCCAAAACTTCTAGCAGCCTGTGAGAATCAAGGTTCGGGTTTGCATTCTTACGTTATCAGTCTTCGAAAGACAGCTTTGAGCTGTCCCAAATCGCCAATACGAATGAGGTCCCGCTCACATTTGATGTGCCATCCAACAGAACTGTGGACGGCAAAGGAGCAAAGACCGTGGCTGTTCAAACCAGTGCTCATGAAGAGATGCATTTCACTGTTGTTCTAGCCTGTCGTGCCGATGTGACAAAGCTACCACCTATGATCATTCTTTAAAAGAAAAATGTTTCTGAAAGAAAAGATTTTAAGTGGAGTTATTGTTCACGTGCATGAAAAATGATGGATGAATGAAGAAGGCGTGGAAATCTGGTTTAACAAAGTCTAGCCAGGAAGGGTTGGAGGACTACTTAAAAAAAAGCAGCTTCGTTTGTTCTGGATCACTTCAAAGCCCATGTTATACAAAGTGCAAAAGCATTCGCAGCAGACTCAGACCCCAACTTGCTGTGATACCTGGCGGGGTAACCAGCCAACTGCAACCCCTTGATGTATCAGCAAACAAGCCCTTTAAGGCCCTAATGAAGGAAGAGTGGACGTTATGGATGCAGTCAGCTGGTAGTGACTTCACACTTACAGGCAGGATCAAGAAAGCATCCACTGCCCGGGTTTGTGATTGGACCCTAAGATCACGGAACAGTATCAAGAAGGAAGTGGTTGTGAAATTGTTTTAAAACCACGACACCCACAATACTGCAGATGGAAATGAGGATGATGAAATGTACCAGGAAAAGAGAGCGACTCTTTAGAAGACCCTGGCAGTGTAGAAAATGAAGAAGATGATACTTCTGATATGGACAGTGACAAAGAGTTCTTGGTCTTCTATGATGCATAAATATTGTAAATTTGTTACCCGTACATCAAATTTCTTGTACCTTGTATCTGTTCTAGTGTTTTGCAATTATTTGTTACGTAAAATTCCTTGTTCCATAATCTGTTTGAAAATAAATGCTAAAATTCCTTTATAATACAAAAAAACAAGTATCTAAATATAAATAAATAATTGGATTAAAAAAATTAAAATGAAAAATTTTTTTTCCCCTGAAAGTTTGGGCCAAAAACATGAGTGTGCATTACACACGGCAAAATAGGGTAGTTTGTTTTTGGTTTGAACCAGTAGATGCTAACTGTTCTGCTCCTTGAAGTCTGTTTCACTGTGTCGCGTCTTGTCTTGACATCCCCCATTTTGACCTCAGTTTTGCCATTAAGTTTCATAGTACCTGCCCCCTTGTCTGAAGGAACACCCCTTCAGAACTCTCTGACTTGGAGATTCCTCTAGGAATCCAAATTTCTGGAGCTGGCTCCATCCAAGACATACCTTTCTATCTGTATTTGCCAAAGGAAGGTCAGGTGAGCTGGCGTTCTGTTAGCATTCCTGACCTCCATGAGGCGGAAGGGTTAGAACTGGGAGCAGGAGAGACTGCACTGCAATTAAGACTTCGTTGCATTACCCCTCAACCTGGATAATTTACATTTACTCTAGTCCTTCCCTATATGCAATGACAATATTTCCCTTTTGTCAATAAAGATCTTGTAATTTCTAAGAGATGACTGGGGACTCACCTATTAAGATGTTTTGTGGCTGCAGATCCTGGTGAGTGTAGCCCCACGACAGGTGCAGCTCAGCAACGGCCTTAAATATAGATAAGAGGATGCTGCGGGAAAACTCGTCTTCCTCATCTTCCACAGCCTCCCCTCTGTGCTCGGCCACGTGTGTCTCCAGCGTGTGCTCACAGAGCATGATACACACATACAGGAGTCCCCTGTCGCGCTCACTCCCGTAGTATGTCACCAGGTTACTGGTCGCACGGATGCTCTGCAGACAGGAGACTTCATTTTCGCCATTCCTGCTGTTTTCATGGAATCGCTTCACAGCTACCTCTTGCTCTTCGTAGAACCCCAGGTAGACGCCGCCCTCCAAACTGTCAGCAATTTTATATTCTTCGTCAATGAAGATCTTGAGTTTGCCGATCATAGGGCGGTATATGCTATGGAGGTGTTTGAGGGCCAGCCCCCAGCGTGAGCTCTGAGGCGCCCAGTCCTCCGCAGGGGGGTGGTAATCTCTGGCTCCGTGATTGAGGAGAAGCTTTTCCAAGGAAGGGTCATAACAGCGCCTCGCTAACTTAAGAAGGTCCCCGCAGTCCGTGCTGGCTCCTTTGTTACACAGCAACTTGGCAATTTTCGTCAGTTTGTACTCGACAGCCCACAGCAGGGCTGTTTTGCCCTCTGTGTCTGTGTCATTGATCTCTATATGTTCTTGTTCCAGAAGCATCTCCACCACATCCAAGTGATCATTTTCCACTGCCAGAATCAGGGGCGTCTTCCCTTTTTCTCCCCTCACATTGACATTAGCTCCATGGGCCAAGAGAATGCGAGCGACATTCATCACTTCATCACTCTTCTTAAGGTTCACAAGAGCATGGATCAAAGCATTTCTGCCCATGTTGTCACAGGCGTTGACATCTGCCCCCATCTCATCAAGTAGGATACTCAAGATCTCTACATGTCCCTTTTTAGCAGCATCCATGAGAGCTGTGGCCCCTCCCTTTTTAAGCTTCTTTTGAGCCTTCATTGTCTCTCGTCCCAAGTTTACCTCTGCGCCGTTCTCATACAGGAATCGCAAGGCTTCGACCTTCCCGTACTCAGCGGCTTCCATGAACGCGGTGAAGCCATGGTGATCATACTCATTGACACTTGCGCCTTTAGAAAGGAGAAGTCTCAGCAGCCCCACATGTCCCACAATCCCAGCAACGATGAAGGGAGTGGCCCCATTCCTCTTTCTCAGACAAGGGTCTGCACCATAACGAAGCAGAAGATGCACAATGTCCTCCCTTTCCATTTTTACTGCATTATGTAAAGGGGACCAGCCTCCGTCCTTTTCCTGGAAATTGACATCAGCCCCTCTGTCCAGCAACTGCTGGACCCACTGTATTCTTCCTTCTCTAACAGCGTTTATCAGTGAGTGATTGTCATCCACCAAAGTCCTCCCCTTGCCAGAGGGCCCCCGTCTCTCCTGGGCATTGTGATGTCTTTTGGTTTCCATGACAGTAAGTGCCACTGGTTACAACTTTTTGCCTTTCTTTGAGAAAATGAAAACTTACCTTCTTGGGACTTGATCAAAGAAACAGGGAGCTCTAAAAACTCCTAAATAGGGATTATCTGGCTATAGATCAGCAGTATGGGGAAGGGCAATACTCCCGGAGTCTTCTGACGTTACACCTGGAGACAAAAGAGGTACTTTGTAATTTTGTAATAGAAACATTTGAGTTAGAGGAATGAATTTTACCAGCAACTTTTTCAAAATATATCTACTTATTTATTATAGAAGTTTGTATTATACACTGTTATGAATATATATGAATTCAAATCATGAAAACTATTACTCTGTAATCCTGCTGCCCAGAAACATTGTTAATATTTTAAAATATTTCTATAGATTTTTTTTTTAAAAGTTGGGATCATGCTGTGTGAGTAAACGTGTAGCCTTCCTTTTCATTTAATGCCATACTATACATAATTTCTTATGTTATTTTATTATAAACTCTTAAAACTTTTTTAATAGCTGTGCAATATGCTGTCATTCAGTCATTTTATTTCCCTATTACCGAGCAGTTTTTTTCAAAATAATTTTTAAACAGGATACTTTAAATGAGAATTTTTAAACAATTCTAAATAATGCTGCCACAAATTTGCCTTATTTTTGTTTGTTTTCTTATGTTAGGTCATATAACAGATTTCAAAGAATTGAATGACTAGTCAAAGGATATGATTGTTTTTAGGATTCTCAACTTATATTAAGAAATTTCTTATAATGTCATCTAAACATATTCTGAGGAGAAGTAGATAGCCTCATTAAAAAGAAAAAGGAAAAAGAACCCTCATTTAATTAAAAAAAAAAAAAACCCAAACACATAGCTTTGCCAGTGCACGTTCCTTGAGCGACAGGAAGGTCAGTCACTCTCAGCGCGCCCGTGGCTCTGTGCGCTTTGCGCACCGTGTGCTCCTCTCCCCAGTAGTTCAGAGTCGCAAAGAGCGGAGACTCAGCCTTGGCAAGATCTAAGTGCGAGCCCCTTGCTATATAACTTTAGACTAGTGCATCCTAATTGTGTAGCCTTAGCTTATTGAGTCTCAATTTTCTGTTCTTTCAAATGGGGACAAACATAAGCATGGTCCACTGTATAAAGTGCATTAAAATAGAGGGTGTGGCAAATAGTAGGCTTTCGGTAAATGGTAGGGCTAGTTGTGTCCCTTTATTAAAAAATGTTAATGAGCCTTGTTGGCCCCATGCCTGTGCATGGACCCGCAGCTCAAACAGGGAGCCTGGCAGCACCGGTTGAGCCCCGCTGTCCTCAGTCAGACCTGAGCAGTTTAGATCCAATTTAAGCATCACTGCACCTTCTACAAAAGTCACAAAACAACCATTTTTTCTGCTGTTTCACCGCTCTGTCCTGAAGTCCCCACCGTCCGAGGTCCAACTCAATGGTGCTACATAAGCACAATCTCCCAGCAATGAGCACTTTGAACCAGATGTTTTTGTTACAAATGAGATTGGCCAGTCTAAGTAAAGGAGCAGAGAAGGCAGGAAACCCTGAGCAAAATATCCGAGTGGAGAATAAAGACATTCCAGCAAAAGTACCGTAAAGCATTAGCCTGCTTTCAGTTTCGTTTTCCCTTTATGAACAGAGGTGCTTGTTTACAGAGCCAACTCGAATAAATAATGTGTGGATTGTGACAGAACCTTGGTGTCCTCGGGAAGGCTCAGGACCGAAGGACCCTGCAAGGACTCTGCCTCTCCTTCCCCTCCCAGAGTCCCCCACCGTTTACCCCTCCAGTCCCCAAAGCCCAAGGAATCTTTCGAAGAAAAGGACTTAACTGTTTCCAGTTCTCCTCCTTCTGCCCTGCTTACCTTCTAAACTCAGAAGCCTCCTCTGTTACTTTTTGTCAGCACCTAATCTTCAAATACTGTTGCCAGCCAGAAGAAGTTTCCTTCTAGTGAGTCACTGGGACGGGGGGGCGGGGCCGAGAAAGGAGTGTAACGTGCACACCCTCTCAGGCAGGCGCAGCCTGTGCACATCGCACTTTTTTTTTTTTTTTTTGGTTGGAGGGTATAAAAGCAGAGCAGATGGAACTTTTATACTCTCTAGAGAAAAGCGGTGGCCCTTCTGGGACTGGTGGTGACTGATTTGATGTTCAAGGTCATGCTGCTCACCTCTCAGCCTTTCAGGGCACAGCCGCCAACTCCATCTTTACCATGTTATTTCAAATCCCCTATCTTCTTGAGGGAAATGAATGGAAAATACACATTCATTGAGCACTGACTTGGGGGCCTGGCGCTACACTCATTGCTTCATAAATGACATGGTCTCAGGGACTTCGTAACACTGATGCCGAAACTGAGGCTCAGCGAAGCTAAGGAAGCCCCGCGTCAACGCTTCCTCACCGGCCTGGGCATACTCAACTCAGTGTCCCCAAAACGGGGCATGCTTTTGCTGGCATGCTGGAGACTGGGCTTTTTAAATATTTTTATATTTTAAATTATATTTATAAATAATATAAATAATGTATTACTTATAGAGCTGTGGTTATTTAACTGAGTGACCTCAGGTGGGTCTTTTAACAACGCAAATGATGTACCTCATCATTTACCTCAGTTCTCTCATGCAGTGTGATTTTTAAGGTTCTTTTCCACTTCGGAAGCTCTGTTGTTGACCATGTTCCTAGCACTGAGCTGCATACGGTGTCCTGAGTGCTACAGTGGAAGTATTTCTGGCCTGAAAGACTATCCGGTCGTGCTAGGGAGATGCACCGCAGAAAAGGTCATGAATAGCGAGCAGGATGTGGTTACGTGATGTTCACCAGTGTCATGCCATCCAGACGCTGGGTCTTTACTGCCCCTTCCACCCCAGTGACACCCAAGCCTCTTTCTCTAGCCCCAGCCTCTCTGCTGAGCTTCAGACCAACAAATCTTGAACATGTCCCAAACAGAAACTGTCACCTCCCCCTAGGTCTGCAGCAGAGACAGCCACCTCTCCCTCAGTCTGCTCCTAACCTTTCTCCATCTCCATAAATGGCAGCACCACCTGGCTGCTGGTCTTCATTCTTATTCCAGTTACCAAGTCCCCTACTTTCAACTGCAAAACAGTGACTAACCGCAGCCCTCATCATTGCTTATTGCAAGAAAGTATTGACTCACTTCCTTGTCTCTAACCTAGTGTCTAGTTATCTGCTTCATTGACTTACCAGTTTTCAGGACAAAGTTCAAAACACTGAACTCATCACTTATTCAATTAGTATTTGTTGAGCACTGATTATGTCACCAGTGACTTTCCTAAGTGCTTAGGATACAGGGGTTTGCCACCCAAGTTCCTCAAGCAGGTCCTTCGTGGAACTTGCATCTTAGTGGGTAGAAATAGATCATAAACAGTTGAAATATGCAACATATAACATGATTCCAAGTCGTGCTATGGTCCCTGGCTGTCCCTGTTCCTCACGGGCATCGCCACTACTACTGCCCGGTTCTCCATCACGTCACACTGCCTCCCACCTCCAGGTCTCTGCACAGGCTGCTTTCGCTGCCTGGACAAATAATAATAGTAACAAGGATGACGGCGGTGATGACGATAGCAAACATTTGCTTAGCTCTGAATATGCTCCAGGAACTATCCTGATCTTGCTATATGTGAAATAGGTACTATTTTTTAAATTTTTAAAATATCTTTATTGATTTTAGAGAAAGAGGAAGAGGGAGAGAGAGAGGAAGAGGGAGAGAGAGAAACATCGATTGGTTGCCTCCCATATTTACCCCAATTGAGAATCAAACCCACAATCTAGGGATGTGCCCTGACTGGGAATCAAACCTCCAACTTTTCTGGTATATGGGACAAAGCTCCAACCAACTGAGTCATACCTGCCAGGGCGGTACTATGTTTGATCCCATTGCACAATGAGGAAACTGAGGTACAAAGTGATTAAGTAGCTTGCCTTGTTCTAAGGATTTGGGCTACGTCACTGAACAACCCAGAGAAAGATGCCTGCCCTCATTCTTGCTGGAGAAGGGAGAAAATGAACAAAATAAGTAAATAGTATACAATTTGTTTCATGGTGAAAATCCTACAGAGAATAATGCAGTAGGTAGGATAAGAAGGGTTGAAGGTAGGATGGGAACTGTAGTCAAGAGATACACTTTCTTAGCAAGAGAGATGCAAACGCCATTATCTAGACCTACCTGCATTCCATGTCTTACTCTTGGGGCCATTTCTTAGTTACTCAATTTTAATTTTTTTCTTCGTAAAGCAATTTGAATAGGGGGACCCATTTAAAATGTTCTGTGGCAATGGACTATATTGTGACCAGCATTTAATATGCCCTGAACATTTTTCAATCTTTACCTAAGAGCTTCAAATTTTTTTCATTTTTCACCTTTTATTGAGAAATAATTGAAATACAGCACTGTATAACTTTAAAGGGTACGGCATAATGGCGTGATTCACACATAGTGAATTGATGACCGCAATAGGTTTAGCTAACATCCACCATCTCCTAAAGAGACAACAAAAAGAGAAGAAAAAATGTTCTCCTTGTGATGAGAACTCTTAGGATCTGCTCTCTTACCAGCTTCCTACATATCACACAGCAGTGCTCACTATAGTCGTTGTGCTATACATCACATCCCTATTAATTATTTATCTCATAACTAGGAGCTTGAACCTTTGACCACCTTTCTCCAATTGCCCCTCCCCCGTACCTTGCCTCTGGTAACCACAAATGTGATCTCTTTGTTTATGAGTTTGAGGGGGAGGTTAAATTAGATTCCACATATAAGTGAGATCATACAGTATTTACCTTTGTCTGACTTCTTTCACTTAGCAGAATGCCCTAAGGGTCCATCCGAGTTGTCATAACTGGTTAGAATTTCCTTTTTTTTCTGGCTGAATAATAGTCCATTGTATATACATAACACAACTTCTTTGACCACACATTCATCGATGGACACTTAGGTTGTTTCTATATCTTGACTAGTGTGAATTATGCTGCTATGAACATGGGATGCAGATATCTTTTTCATGTTTTCGTTTCCTTTGGCTACATTACCAGAAGTGGAATTGCTGGATTATACAGTAGTTCCATTTTAAATTTTTGGAGGAGCCTCCATATTGTTTTTCATAGTGGCTACACAAATTTACAATCCCACCAACAGTGCATAAGGGCTCCCTTTTCTCCACATCTATGCCAAGAACTTCAATTTTTAAAATTAATTTTAACCCTGTTGACTAAAGAAAACTTGTTTTAATCCTTGTACCCACTGGGCTATCTTAGCAGTAGTTATGCTAATAATTCTGTTTTATTAAAATGAATGAATAAAACTACAAATTATATCTCTTGGATATAATTCCAAAGGAAAGAGCCAAACTTCAACTATGATGAAAGCAAGTCAAGCAATGCTGAGGAAAAAGCTGGTATAGCCTGACATGCCCACAGGGGGGCAGCAGAGGGTGAGAAATGGAGATGGGGCAGGACTAGGGTAGGAGTCCGGGGAAGCAGCAGTGGGATTTGAAAACAGCGCTGGCTGACCAGGATTTGAGTAGAACTGTCTCGATTAAGGGCTCAGCTTCTGATTTCCTCATCTGGAATTCTGGAAATGAGTTACTGTATTGGCATAGCTGTCCTAAACTAGAAAGACAAGTAGACTTGGCATCCTGGCTTTTATTTTATTAAAAAAGTCAATAAATAGTTATTTACTGATGCCTACCGTGTACTTGGAATTAGATGATAACAACAATAACAGCAAGTATTCCTGGGACATCAACCCTGTGCCAAACACTTTTATTTCATCCAATGGACCCTGTTGGGGGTGGGGGTGCTCTTCTTATCATTAATGGTACAGACAGAGAACTAAGCCTTGGAGAGGATCAACTGTGCGAGCTCATCCAGCAAATGAACCAGGATCACAACCCGAGCTTCTGACTGCATAGCCCAGGCTGTGAACCACTTTACTGAGACCTGTTCTGTCCATCTTATCAAGGTGACTAACATGACTCCTCACCTTGAAGAGATCGGTTTAAAGGAAGTAAAAGAGCTATGATGAGATCAATTACAGTGTCACACCATAGGTGGGGCCACCAGTATGGACAGCGTGTCCTAGAATCACGGGAATGACAGCCATTAATTCTGTGTCATGGGTGTCTGGGAAGGCCTCATTGAGAAGGTGGTGTTTTGGGTGGATTTTGAGGAGGAATGTTAAGGAGGGCATTCCCTCCCTCACTATCCAACCCCTAATATTAAAGAAGAAGAAGGAGAAGAAGTAAAAGGAGGAGGAGAGGGCACTGGAAGTTCATCTGGGCAGGACACGAGTTAGGGGAGGGACTTAGGCCGATCCAAGCAGGCCTCATATGTCATGGTAAGATCTGCCTTTCCTGTTGTAGTCAAAGGTGAGCCACAGGAAGGCTCTTATTCAGCCACGATACGCTCAGACCTGTGCAGCATAGAATGTGAGCTGGAGGGGGAGAGGATAGGAGAGGGAGAGCAGGTGGGAAGCGGTTTTTATAGCCCTGACTAGAGAGGCTGAAGAACTGGTCCAGGTCAGCTCTGGTGGGCCTGGGGGCGAAGCGACATCGCTGCGTGCCAGCGTTAGGAAGCAGAAGGTGGCAGGTGTCTGAGGGGAGTGAGCATGACTGTGGTTTTGAACGCATTGCATTGGAAGAGCCTGTGGGACATCCAGGGAGAGAAGTCTGGTAGGATGTTGGAAATGGTAATCCAGACTTTTCTCCTGCTGGATTTAAAAGTAACCATTAACTCAAGAGCAATTGGCTAAATATTTACATAGGCTAGGCCCTGGGAGTGGACCATTGGAAAGGAGATCGTGCCTAATCCCAGGATTTTGACAGCTGGTGAAGAGAGGCAGAAAGCAAGGAGTTAGGTGCTCTTGCTCCCCAAGCATTGGCCACAGTGCAACAGCAAGGAGAGCCGTATGCGATCAGGTGCCAGGGCTCAAGAAGGCTCCCCTGAAAGACCCTTGAGCCACTTGTGCAAGACACGTCCCTGGGCTGATGAAGGAAGCGGTGGGCGGCAATGATGACAGTAGGGGACACAGCAGGGAGGTGGCCCAATATAGAAAAGCAAGAAACACTGAAACAGTAGGCGAATCTGTCTGGGACTTGTGATTTTTTTTTTCCCCCAAGAGGCAGGTGAATAGGGCAACAAGAGAGCAGGCCTAACAGGCTTCCTAAGTGGCTGGCTCAGGAAGTGCTTTGCCTGTTAATCCAAAGCCGGAAGTGCTCCTGGGAGGACGCAACCAGTGAGTCTAAAGATACTAGAGACCCTTGCTGGCTGTGTGATCTTCAGGAAGTCACTTCAACTCTCTGAGGACCCATACAGGGTAGGACTGTCGTGAGCCTGAAACAGGGAGATGTGTGGGTCAACGAAGACTTGCGCTTCTTTTATCTCTGATGCAAACCCACCACGTTCGGGCCACACTGTGGACTCCAAGACCACCCTGTATTGAGGGGGAGGCCTGGGGGGATAGGAACAAGCTTTGAGATGGTCTCGCTGAATCAAAATGCCAGCCAGCAGCCGCCCCAGTCATGGGGTGCCTGTCATCCCTGTCCACGTCTCTGTCACTCACTGATTACACCCCTTTTCTCAGTGGCGCCCATAGTGCTTCAGAAAATACACACTTGTGCCCTTGTCTAAACTCATTTGGAATCTTCACCCACCATTTAACGAGGCTGTTTGCAGTTGGAGGCATGGTTACTGATTTTGGTTTTCTGCCCAGTGCACAGAATGCACTCCATAACGCATGTAAAAAGGCAAAACTATGGAAGAAAAGTAATGAGAAGAGGACACTGTCACTATCTCTCTGCCTCCCTGAGCACCCGTCTCTCCCCTTCCCTCTGCCCTTCTCTCACGGACTCGATGCGCCCCACCCTGTAACTGGGTTCAGATCCCCTCTCAGCTGCTTACTCTTATTTTTTTTTTATTGAGGTGTAATTGACATTCAATATTATGTTAGTTTCAGGTGTACAACATAGTGACTTGATATCTATATACATTACGAAATGATCACCACAATAAGTCTACCTACCATCTGTCACCATACGAAGTTGCTACAGTATTATTGTATATATTCCCCGTGCTGTACGTTATTGCCCCAGACTTGTTTACCTTATAACTGAAAGTTTGTGCCTCTTGATCCTCTTCACCCATTTCGCCCACCCCAACCCCCTCTCCCTGGCAACCATCAGTCTGATTTTGTTTTGTTTTAATTTGTTGGATTTTGTGTTTGTTCTTTAGAATCCACGCGTAAGTAAAATCATACCGTATTTGTCTTTCTCTTGCTAACCTATTTCACTTAACATAAATGCCCCCAAGTCCCACCCCTGTTGTCACAAAGTCTGCTCTCACTCTTCGGCCAGCTGCCCTGGGCTTGTTTCCTCCCTCTGGGAGCTTTAGGTACCACACCTGTCACAGGTGCTCCCACTTCACCTCTCAGAGCTGCTGCAAGGACTCCAGGAGACCAGGGCCTGCCAGTGTGTGTTCCCATCTTCCTTCCCAGGCCCTTACACTCGGAGTCCCTCAGGCGTTGCCCACAGCGTCAGCAGCCCCTTAGATCTGGCCTTAGCGGGTGACTCCCGGGGTTTTCCACCCGATGTACCTGAAGTCTGGTCACTTTACTCAGACTAACACTAGGGGAGAAATAGAAGTCAATGTAAGGTCCGGATCTGTATATAAACAAGATAATTCAAGAAGGAAGAATTTTTTTTTTCAAATACTGGTAAAGAGAAAAACACGAGAAGATGACTAGGATGGGAAAGAACAGATTTGGATCCTTGCAAACCTACCCCCAAAGTTTTCAAGCCTCGCGCACTTGTCTTGTCCCCTCAGCCCGTGGAATGGCCCAGCATCACGTACAGGGTGGCCGCCCCTGGCCCGTCGCAGAGGCTTCTATGAACTTATTAAAGACGACACACTCGAATTTCTATGCAATTATAATAGACCCAAGCAAACGGAAAAAGGGCAAAAGTAAAGGTGCCACAGCAATCACCCTGTGATGATAATGTCTGGCTCCTTGACCAAGGGGAACGGCCCCCCGAGCTGTTTCAGGCAAAATCGGTAACGGCTGTGCCCTGTCTCCGTTCAGGGGACAAAGGGTATGGGCTCTGACCTGACAAGAGGCTGAGCGGGGTCTGATGGACAGGACCCCGCGGCCCAGCGCAAGTTGGGTCAGGCGTCAGCTAAAGGAAAGTCACTGCTCCCCGCGGCCACCATTAGGCCCCGCCCCTCTTCAGTTCCACCAGTTCCCAGCCACACATGGGTCTTCGTCACCTGTGCCTCCGCCTGTGATGGGGAAGTGCGCCCATCAGTCCCGTGGGACTTCCGGAGGCCGATTCCTCCAAACAAGACTCTCCGCACGAGGCACTTCCCTTTCCCGAGTCCCCTGATCACACAGCCCTGGCAGACAGGAGCTCCTATGTAGGCTCTATTTTTATTTAACAAGAATATAACATGCTGAAACAGGAAAAACGGGGGTTGGTACATCACTTGCATCTCGGAAACCAGCTCCAGTTGTCCACAATAAATAATAAATATTTAAACAGCGAGGAGGTCCTGACAGGCGCCAAGAGGTTCCCAGCATGTTCAGAGGTAGAGCTTGGTGGCGAGAGGGAGACGGGCCGCAAGCTCCTGTTGAGAGTCTCAGGTCGAGGCCAACGAAAATTACAATAAATAACGATAGCAATAACACCGACAGTAACAAAAATAATATGCTATGACAATCGTCACAAAACCGACAATACATTATAACTTAAATAGTTTTCTCCTGGAGGAGCAGCTCACAGTGCAGCGAGAACAGGGTTGATTTTCCTGGGACGCAAAGGGCTGCCTGGTTCATTCACCTCCCCAGCCTGGGCTCTGCACGGGTGCCACCTCAGAAAGTCTGTTCAAGGATGCCCTGAGGTGACAGGCAGGTTCTGATTTTCCCCAGTCCTGCTCTTCCAAGAAGCCCCTCTCCCCAACTCTACTCCCAGCTTCTGCGGTCTGTCCGAGGTCATCGTGGCCCCTGCCCCAGCTCCCCCAGCATTCCACAAAGTGCGCGTCACGCCCACCGGAAGGAAACACGGGGCTCCCCTTCCATCCTGGAGTGTCTCTTTTTCCCTGTTCTCATACTCACAAACACAAAAAATATTGGCTTGACTTAAACAGGACTTTCAGAACCTCTCACGAGATCTGTTTCTTGTGACCCTTTCTCCCTCTCTCACACCGCCGGGCATGAGAGGTCCCACCCCTCGCTCCTGAGGGCCTCCACATGCAGGGGTGGAACCGAGCTGAGAGGGGGCACATCCCGGCCAGAGGCCTTTGTCCGGCCCTGTCCACAGGCGGACCCTGCTGCAAACACAGCGTCGGGGGCCACCAACAAGGTCACCAAGAGCACCAAGATTAATTTTGCATGCGCAAGATGGCTTCTCTTCAGGGCTCTCTATTGACGTGGAAAGGGGCTCAGAGGCCAGGTTTTGAGGTATAAAAATCTCACTTGGGCCAAGTATCACCTCAGCTCCCTGGGCTTGAAAAGGCTGTGAGGGTGGACACAGGAATGTTAAGAAGTACAGGCTACGGGGCCCCCGGGTAGCTCAGAGGCAGGGGAGGTGGACAGAATAGGGAGAGTCCACGTCCAGGGCTCCCTCCTGTGCCCGGGGCAGTCTGGGAATTAGGAAAACAGGATATGATCAGTCAACTGTTCAACAGGCAAAACAACTGATATGGCTGCCTTCCCTCTCATTTTCCAGTTTCCCTTTATGCACAGGTTTCCCAAAACACCTAGACTATTTCTTGCCCTGTTGGGAATGACAAGAGCCAAGGACAACTTTTGCACCGCCATTCTTTTTCCCAGAGAACACCACACAGCCGCAGTCTTCGGCCCTTATCCACAAGTCCTGGGAGTGGGGGGGACCCTCTCGTGCATGAAATTCAGTCCCACAGTCGCTGGAGGAGAGGCTGTTGCTTCCAAAACAAAACAGCTTTTCCCTTCACTGTCCTCTTGCTTGCTTTGCAGAACCTGCCTCCCACACAGGGGCAGCTGCCTCAGGGCTGGGTGGCTGAACCTCTCTTCCCGGCTGGCTCCTCACTGCCATGAGGCTCAGGTGTGTAAGGGCTCTGCCGGGCTGCAGCTGGACAGGCAGCTGCTGGTGGCCGAGGCTTGGGCAGCCAGGTCCCGGTAAGCGGGTGACTTCAGGAAGCGTGGGTAGGAGTCTTTCTCCATCAGGGTGCGTGTCTTCCCCTGAGCCACATCGAAGCAGGTGGCCGTGGCAGCCTGCAGGTTCGTCCTGGTCAGCTCCCGGGTCTCGTGGTCTATGTTCACCTGTGGGAAGGAGGGCAAGCGCATGGGTGAGTGGGGGGTGGGGTGGAGGCAGAAAGGATTGGCAGATAGGGCAGTGGGAGGGGCCCTGGATTCTGAACAGGAACCTGGGGTCTCCTGAGTTCCTTATTAACTGGCTCTCAACTCTGGGCCTGTCCCCACGTCTGACCCAATCTCTGCCCTCCCATTTCTCAGGATTGTCGAGGATATAATAAGACGGCCTACAAAAGCAACCCCTTTTGACCCCGCCCTCTGTAACCTCCTTGGTTCCAGTCCCCACCACCTCTCTCCTAGGTTAGTGCCAGAGCCTGCTGGCAGGTCTCCCTCTCTCCCCTCGCCGCTGTGGTCTGTTCTCCATCCAGCCGCCAGGAGAACCTTTCAAACCCCAAGTCAGTCTGGTAGCAACTCTCTTGTCTTCCCACGTCTCTCAAAGAAAAAGCCAAAGTGTGTGTTGGGCCCACATGGCCACCTGGATCCGCCCCTGGCCATCTGCCAGCTGCCTGACCTCATCCCCTGCTCTCCCCCTCAGCCTCCTTGTCCCAGCAGGTCCTCTTGCTGGCATGTGATGACGACAATGCTCTCTGGCCTTTGCACTTTTCCTTTCCTGTGTGAGCATATTCTTTCCTCCAGTGACTCTTTCAGTCTCTGTTCATATGTCACCTATGAACGGCTCACCTTTCACGTCCCTTTATAAAATGGAAAGACCTCACATCCTTCCCTCTTCACTCTGGGCCTCCCTCTGCATCCTGCTTAATGTTTATCGGAGGACAGATCCCCCTGGCAAATGTGTGTTAGCTTGGTTACTGGCATCTTCCCCCACTAGGAGGGAGGCTTTGTTTTGTTCACCACTCTATCCCCAATGACTGTAATAGGATCTGGCATTAAATTGGCGCTCAATAAATCTTTATGGAATAATGTGGAATAAATAAAAATGCTCAGAAAATAAAATAGGAACTATGGCACAAAAGCAAAGCATTACTGCCATCTCTCCACTAGGTGGCCCCATGTTCTTTATCAAACGCAGGAGCCAGGCAGCGAGGCCTAAGGGAAGGGGGCAGGTTCACTGACCACAGACAGACCTGCCCATCTGAAGCCGGTCATCCGGGGTGGGGAGAGAGGTGGGTTACACAAGGTCCCTGGATGACCTGCCTCCCCAGCTGTGTAAGTGTTTTGGGCCTCTAGAAAGGGCTTAGTCTACAAGAATAACTATGGACAGAAGCCAAAACACCTGCCAACCCCCTCACCCCCATCAGTGAGTCTGAGAGTAATGGCGCCTCTGGGTGGCACAAAGCCGGGCTGTCCTAGGCTCCAGCCCATTCGCCCTCGTGCCAAATAAAGTCACTCTACTTCCAAACTCAGTCCTTCACTTGCTGGCCCCCCACATCCCCAATTCTCAGTGGGGAAGGAGCAGGCAGGGCCTGGAGGATCCAGGCGACGTTGTCTGGGCTCTGACCTCTTTTGGGGCGTCACTGCAGATGAACTCCTCAAAGATCCTATGAGCCCTGGAGGCCAGCTTGGTGGCGGACCGGATCTTCTTGAACTCCTCGCAGGCCAGCCAGAACTCCAGGTTCTCCTCACTGAACTCCGTCTTCAGGAAAGCATGGAAGGCTGCCACTCCATCTGGATTGGAGGGAGAGAGGAAGAGACCGGTCAGACTGGGGAACGGCAGGGAATAAAAGAAGAAAAGACAGCAATTGTAGTCAGTGGCTCTATTTTTAGGATGTAATTTTCTCAAACAAGGACCTGCCTTTGTGTTCGGAATAGAGGCTGACACACTAGGGGATCATTATTATTATCACTACTACTGTTATTTTGCCCACGCCTTCAGCATCCCTCAGGCTGGCTCCCAAGCACATGAGCACACACGTGCCATCCACAGACAGACACAACAGGGTCCTACTCACTTTTACTGCTCAGCAGCAAGTCAAAGGACTCTCTCCATCCCAGCACATCTTCTGAGAAGTTTCTGTTGAAAAAAAAAAGGGGGGAGGGGGACAAGATTTTAATTTAAAGAAAAAAAATCAACAAAATAATGCACAGCACAGATCCTAGCCAGAACTCTGACGGGAGTTGCATAATTCACACAGAGACATGCTCCGTGATTATTGGAGCTGACTCCTCAAACCCTTGATTGGGGTTAAGGGAAACAGTGGTGTTTTCTAGAGAAAAAAATCAGTAACCAGGAACCAGAGTCAGGTAGCATTTGGCCCTCGGTAAATATCTCTAACTAAGACTGTCTCTTTGCTGTCCAAGATTCTTTCTTTTCCCCCGACTCTCCAAGCATCGTTTTGTACACTTCTCCAAGGAAATGAGGGCCTTGTGAATAAAGGTTATGTCGACCCAGAACCTCAGAGCCTAACGCAGCACCTGGCACAGGTGATGTTCCATATGAAAGAGCTTCTAGGCAAGGTGCACAGTAATGGAAGCAGAGCCATTGATTAAAAACCTCAGGTGCTCTTGGGCCCTGTGCTGGCCCTGGCTGCCTGTGCAATGACATCTCCACGTGGCAAAGTCTGGCAACTAGACATTCAAGCCCTGGGTTAAATTTCTGGAACCATCCACCCAGGCACCCATGAGCCAAGCAGCCATAGCAGACCAGCCAAGAAGCCCTCCCTAAAATCTCCAGGAAGGGGACACCGAGCTCCACCCTAGCATACCCTAGCTTCTCCTTGTGTTTTCCTTCTCATGACTCCTTTCCCAAGCCTGGCCCCGGCTCCTCTAGAGGCACTAGACTGGCCGGCAGGACTCACCCCTCTTTGCTGTGTTTGCTGTTCCACTCCAGCTTGCCAACATTCCCAGTATCAGAGCCCAGGTCAGATTTGTGAAGAAAGATCCCCAGGCGTGTCTTGAACTCTTTGGCTCTGGAAGATAAAGCAGGAACATGTAAGGATTCTCCATTTGCTCAACCAGGGCAGAAGGGCTTATGGGGTCTCAGAAGAGGTCAGGCTGGCGCCACCCAAATTCCTGGGAATGCTTGGGTTCCCTTGGCTCTTCCCTGGAGCCTAAACTTTGCTCCTTTCCTTAGTATCATGAAACCCCAGAACAATGAAAGCCATGTCTGAGCCATGCCTTACACTTTCTGAGTTTACAGCACTTCAGGCACTCAAGTCACACTGCTCTGACCCTCTGGGCTTGTCATGAATATTTCCGGAACTGTTTAGAAACTGATTCCTCATCTTTACCTTTTCCGTCCCTGCCACCAGCACCAGCAAGGATTGGAGGCGGGTGGGTAGGTGCCTGGAAAGTGGGCATATCCCTCACCTGTGGACTTGGAAAACACCTCCCTGCCTTCCAAGGGCAGGAGGAGCCCATGCCCCTAGATCTGGGCTGTACAATAAAAACCGAGTGCTTAAGAAACTGGGAGAGACAGTTTGGCCAGGTGATGCCAACGTCGTCTTCAGCAGGTCACCTAAGAAGGACTGCCATTTATCAGAGGATAGGGAATGAGAGTCCTGTTTTTCCCTTGTCCCTTCCCTTGGTCCAGAGAGCTTCTCTGCGACTCCACGGGAAGCATCCGAGAACGTGGCGCCAAGTTGACCTTGGCCTCCCCATTCAGTCATTAGCATCCTATTATCCGGCCCACCCGGGGTCCCACGCCTGCTGCCCCACTTCCTCCGGGCAGATGGGCAAGGCGCTCTTACCTCTCCAGGCAGGTAGTGGGGAAGGCGGACAGGGTCCGGCACATGGCTGCGGGTGCAGGGCAGCACGTCTTGGGGAGAATCGTGGCGGATTCCGACGGGTACCGGGAGCGCGAAGAGGCAGAGGGTCGCGGCGGCTGGTACTAAGCGGCTGAGAGTCGTCTGCTCAGGGTGAGTTTATCCAGCTGTACGCTAAGAGCCCGCTAGCCCGCGGCTTTTATTCTCTCGGAGGGGGCGGGGCCGACTGCTCGCTGCCGGCCAATCCGAGAGCGGGACTGAGCGAAGCCGGCGCAGAGGCGGGGCCCTGGAGCCGACCCAGCTGAGCGCCCCGCGGGGACGGCTCCCCAACCCGCGTGCAAGCTTCACGCCGCGGGGCCCACGGGCCTGCCCTCTTCCCGGCAGCCGCCGGCACGCGGAGGGAGAAGCGGCAGGGAGGTTACGGAGATGAAACGCACACACTCCGTTTCACAGGAAAAAAAAATCCTCTCTGGCCTCTGGTTCAACAAAAACCAACTGAAACGTAGTGGAGGGTTAGCGGAGTGGGGTGAAGGGTCCGGGAGGCACAAGGGGTGTCGATCGCAGCCTGAGCCTGTTCCGTCCTGAAACGCAGCCCCGGGCGAGGCAGCATCGTGACTATACCGATAACTAGCACTGTCCCACAGAGCGAGGTACGCCCTTTATCATCATCGGATCCTCACCTCCATTTCATAAATGAAGAAACTGAGTCGGAAAGTTGAAGAGACTTGCCTAAGATCATGGAGTTGGAAATAGCGGACACGTGGAGGGAGGTGGGGGCTTTACTGAGCATCTATCTGTGTATTAGGCACTTGTACCAAGACTTAGGTTAAATAACTTGCTCCAAGTTATACAGTAAGTGTTGCACCAGAATTCGAGTATGAATTTACTACGCATTTCTACTGCCTCCCTCTCAAAAAGAAAAAAAAAATCAGAGTCTCCCCATCTTTGTAACCCATGTATGGTCCTGGGTAAAAGCAGCTGCTAGGTCAGAGTCCTAATCTCTGAAAGGTGATAACTGTCCCCCCTGCCTCTCTCCTCACCTCCCCACAGAGGAGCCACAGCCTCCCCCTGCCCCCTGCCCCCTGCCCCCTGCCCCCTGCCCCTCAGTTCCCTCTGGGACTGCTATGAAGAGGTTGCCTGTGAGGTTGCCAGTGTCGAGTCTAGAGACAGATCCTAGTTTCAAATCACGGCCTCACCATTTACTGATGGAAGACTTCTTAACCTTATCCTGGGCAAACTTCTTAACCTTTCCATGCTCACTTCCCTTATCTCCAAGATGAGAACATGATACGCTGTATTTCGTAAGGTGGTTATGAGGTGTAAATAAGTGCCTTCTTAGCTTGAGTTTCCCAGGAAACAGGAAATTCAATTCCTCTGAGGCAGAGAAGTGCTGGGGAGAGTTCTTGGAACTGAGAGGGAGTGAGGGAAGCTGGTCTGGGCAGAGGGAGGAAGTGAATGCCCGGAACGGGACTGCCCCTTGCAGCTCTCCCCCACTGAAGCTAGGGGGCAAATTCCCCCCGCACCAACCTTCCACTGGACGCAGGTGCCCCAAGAAATGGCTTATATGGAAAAAGGCCACTCTCCCTCTGGCAAGGACAAGTCCTGGAGAAAGACTGCATTGTCAGCCTACAGCAGACAGCGCTCTTGCGGGGAGGGGATGAGGGCCTTGGTCTCAAAGAGGGGGTTTGGGTGGCATCCCACGGCACCCGCCACAACATGGAAGGCTCTCAGGACAGAGTCCAACACATGGTCGGCGCTCAGTAAATGCGGGCGCTCACTTAACACAAGGATTGCTAGACAATAAGGAAAAGCAGTGAGTTTTCTGTCTTTGGGAATTTAGGTTTTTATTTCATAAGGGGGAGTCAAAGAGTTGCTATTCCTCAGCAAGGCCTGGGAGTAAAGGGTCAGAGAAAAGAGAAACAAGAGGGGAAGAGGGCCCATTCCCCACCCCTCCCCCACCCCTCCCATCCCCCTCCTCCACCCCCTCCCATCCCCCTCCCGTGAGAGCCCTGTGAGAACGCCCAGGAAAGCTGGTGGGGGAAGGGAAGAAAAAGGCACAGAGGGGCCTGTGAGGCGGTCCTGGAGGCTTTCTGCAGCAAGAGGGGCCCAAGTCAGAACCACGGGTGGCTTCATGTGTCCAACCAGATCCCACCCCTCGCCCCCGCCGGAAGCCAGGGCCTGCAGACGTTAAGCCAAACGCAATGCCCCCTGAAGAGCCCGAGTTGAGCCCTCCGCAGCCTCCCGGTGGGTGAGGGGGTTGGTTCGTGCAGCTCGCGGGGCCGGGGGCGAGTAGGGCGGCAGCACCGTCTCCGGCGGGCGTCCAAGTCCAGGGAGAGACTGAGGAATTGCCGAATCATGAAGGCGCTCGGGCCTGGGGAGTGATGACGAGGGAGTGATCACCTCCTGAGCAGTGAAATGGACAGTCCCCGGGGGCCGTTTCCTGGCTGGGCTGTGACAAAATTATGGGTGCCCTCCCCTCCTACGCAGGGGAGGTTGACTGAGTTCAGCCTGGGTGTAGGAAATGACTGTTTCCCCTATTGTCCGTCAGGGTACAGGGTCCTGGGCACAGGAATAGCACTTTGACGGCTGTGCTATACCTCCCTGGTTTCCTCTCCTCTTCCTGCCCGCCCACCCCCCATTCTGGGCAGAGCTCTGACCGGGGCGGGCGGCTGTGGGAGACCTGCCCGCCTCTACCCAACGGGGCCAATGGACCCCTAGCCGTCAAGGCAGGGCAGTCTCGGCCAGTGGCACCCAGGGACACTAGGAACATGTTTGGGCTCCTATGTATGGCATAGAAGGCTCTAACCACCTGATCTCAGGCCCTTCTGCCTCACACCTGAAAACCCAGCCAAACAGCAGCCAGCAGTTACACGGGCGCCATGCTGCCTGGGACTACGAACCCCTGAAGGCCACGGCTCTTCCTGCACAACTCGTTTTAAAAGATGCTTTCAAGAAACTCATTCTATTCATATATTGACATATAATTTACATATAATAAAATGCAAAGATCTCAAGCATTCAGTTTGATGATTTCTAGCAAATGCAATATACCCTTGAAACCAGAACCCAATCAAGCCACATCATGGGTTCATCCCTCTAGGAACCTCCTTCACGATAGACACCCCCTTTCAGAGGCAACCGCTAGTCTGAGTCCTAGAACCATAAGATAAGTGTTGACTCTTCTGGGCTTTTCTACTTCTTTTTGAGGCCTAGCTCAAAAGTGCTTTCTCATCTCATCTTCAGCCCCGAGCATCATGCCTAGTTCTGTGTATATTCTATGAATGCTGGCTGGCTGGCCGGCTTCTGTTTCAACACAAATAATAACTAACATTTATTGGACACTTATTTTGTGCCAGGCTCTGTTCTTTCGGGTCTCGTGATTGCTGCATAAGATGTGTCCTTTCTTGTTCTCCTTTTATGTTTGAGTAAACTGGGGCACAGAGTGGTTAAGTAACTTGCCTATGGTCACACAGCGGCCATAGGTCTAGCTGGCTTTTGAGCTCACATAGTTCAACTCCAGAGCCTGTGTTCCTAAGCATACACCCTGCCAGCTGGCTGTGTGGCATTTTCCAGAACTCAGAATTTGCTCTCTATGGGAAGAATGAAGCACAGCTTGGGAAATATTGGCAGGACGCTATAACTCATCCCTCCGCCCTCTGAGCTTCTTGCTGTGTTGTCTCCCTATCCCCCTTCTCTGCTCACCCCATTCCTCTCTGACCATTCACATTTTCCACGTTCTGTTTTGCCCTTAGCTGTGTGTCATCGCCGGCCCTGGACTTTTCCACTTCCTCTGTCCCTTGTGGATACAGTTCCGGGCATGGCTGCGGAGAACCCCCTGTCTTCAATGTCCCCTCAGTTAATACACAGGCTTCGGTTTCTCTTCACAGAAAACTCCGAGTTCAGCGGCTTTGCCCTGCTGTCATTCCCGCCATGCTTCCCTGTCCCTCTTTGCTCACTGAGGACCTGGATCCCCCCTGGAAGAAGCCTTGGGAGCTTCTGAGGGAGGCAGAGCTTCAGCTCCCAGAGTCTTTGGCATGTTCGGGACCGTGGGGAACCTTTGCTGCCCCTCATCCTCCTGGGAGCCTGAGTGCTGGTAGATGGAGCCTCTGGTGTTTATACTTTCTTGGTTGTTGAACGTTGGCTGTGGCCCATCCAGGCCTTGTGCTCGGTGTTTTGTGTTCTGCCACAACCACGTGGGCTTGTCTGCCTGGCCGGGAGGGGCTGCCTTACCCCGCCCCCTAAGTGGACTGTCCACCTGCCTGGGAATCCCGAGTTCCTCCCGGCTGTCAGAGCCCAGGGTCTGCTGCAGTGTGCCTGTCCCGGGCCTCTCCCAGCCTTGCCTGGTGCTGCCTCGGCTCCCACCTGCGAAGGCTCCTGCTGTCCTACCGATGTGTCCCCTAAAGCACTAACAAAATCAAAGACAGTAAGTGAGTCCCAATCCTGCCAGTTCCAAAACAGGAGACTTAATTTCCTGGGAACCCAGTTTCTAAATGCCTTCCTCCTCCTCATCCTCCCTCCCCGTCCCCTTCTTAATCTGTCACAAATGTCATTTTTTGGAGAGCCTCTCACTTCCATTCCCTAAGGCTTAGTAACAAAGTCGATCAAAAGTTGAATTTTGCTCATTCAATCATCCAGAGAGGCCCTGAGAAGCCACCTCGAAGGAAAGGTTAGAGGGAAGCGGACGAGGCCTGGGATTTGCAAAGGACTGAAAGGTGATGTTTACAATTCCAAAGTCCAGTCCTTCCCTGGCAGAGGAGTGAGTGTTTCTTCATTCCAGAGCTGAAAAGCCATGCAGGTGCCGCACACCAGGTGCGCCTCTCTAGGCAGGAAACAAGCCCTGGGGGGACCCGACAGACGCCACTCCCTGGTTGGGGAGGGCACTGACCAGCTCTCTTCTTCTGCCACGTTCTCCAGCGGGGCGCCCGGCCTCATTTTTGAGAAATGTCAGCCTATCAGGGCACCCCTAGCTCTGGGGACAGTGGGGAGCTGCTCTGGGATGTGAACCCCACCTTGGAGCCCAGAACCCCAAATCTTGGCAGGCCTAGAACCCCAAATCTTGGAGCCTAGCACAGCGGCATGTTTTGGGTAATCGTTAAATGCTGAGTGAGTAATAAAGGGACGTGTCTGCTCCGTTGGATGGCTGTCTTTGGAGA